AAGAAAGAAAGAAAGAAAGAAAGAAAGAAAGAAAGAAAGAAAGAAAGAGGAAGAAGGAAACACAGCTATGTTATGGAGGCTGGTTCCCAGACTGATAGGCTCAAGCAATCCTTCTGCCTGAGACTCCTGAGTAATTGGGACTGCCAGGCACAAACCACTCACTGTTCTTGGCTTGTAGAATTTTTTTTTAAATCTTCATATTGGTTAATAGTGGTTGATCTACTGTTTTCCAATACTAGAACATTCTGAGTTTATCTGTACAGTCACTCTTGCCTGTGAGTTATTATCTTTTTCCTTTCTTGTGGTGCTGGGAATCAAACCCAGGGTCTTATATATACTAGGCAAGTAGTCTACCTGACCTAAACTCTTATTATTCCTATTTCCTGAGTCCCCTTTAGCATTTATTTCTTGTAGGACAGCTCTGGTAGAGATGATTCTCTTAGCTTTTTATTTGGAAATATCTTTTTTTTTTATTTCAATCCTGAAGGCTAACTTTATCTTGGCTGAGTTTTCCCCATCAGTACTATGTACATCTTAAGTACCTTCTCTTTGCTTCCAAGATTTCTGAGAAATTTTCCATCAGGTAAACAGAGACTCTCCCCCCATCCCCCTCTACATTTTGGTTTTTCGAGACAGGGTTTCTCTGTGTAGCCCTGGCTGTCCTGGATCTCACTCTGTAGACCAGGCTAGCCTCAAACTCAGAAATCCGCCTGCCTCTGCCTCCCAAGCGCTGGGGTTAAAGGCGTGCACCACCACCGCCCGGCAACAGAGACTCTCTTATGCTTGATTCTTTTCTCTTGCAGCTTTGAAAATCTTTATATTTTATACCTTTGAGAGCTTAATTATGACAATGGGGCAAACTTGGTTGAATTAAAACCTTCCGGTTTTGTGCTGTCATAGAATATGTTTAATGTAGGCATGGAACACTACATGAAAATAGTATGTATAAATCTACATGTGATGGGATGTACAGTCAAAAAGTTTGGAGACCAGTAACCCTAAAAGTCTGTGTCTTGAAAAAAAATTAACCTGAGTGTGGTGACAAATGCCTATAACTCAAGCACTTCAGAGGTAGAGGCAGAAGAATCAGGAGTTCAAGGCCAGCCTCAGCTATGTCATGAGTCTGAGCCCAGCATGAGCCCCAAGAGACTCTGCCTAAAACAAGCAAACAAACAAACAAACCAAAACAAAAAACAAAACAAAACAAATCAAAACACCCATGGCTGAGCTGACATACTTTTAAGTAGAGCTCCTTTCTAGGTAAGATTTTTATACTTCAAACCCAAATCCCCAAACATGAGAAGTCCCTTTTTTTCTTTTTAAATATACACATATAAGATATTTTATTTCAAAAAGCACAAGAACATTATACAAGTTTTTAATTTACATTTTTGCAATAAAAGATATCAATATATGCATCATTTGTATAACTTCATCATGAATGGAATTTGAATCAGTGGTATAAACATGTTGCAGTCACTAAATATAGATCATTATCATCACAGTGAACCAAAATGCATAGTTGTTATGAAATGACAAATGACCACTAAAAGGTGAACTCACAGCCCATACACTAATATAAATTAATTATACAGATATATGTTTATCTTTACTGTATCATTAAAATCCTCGCCAACCCCTCACCAATGTTAAAAACACAGAGTCAGAGCCATTCTACTAAACCAATTCTTTCACATACTACACTAAATAAAGTGACTTGGTTGCTTAAGTAAACTTCTTAGCAGACTTAAATCGTTTGTCATGATGAATACTATTAAAAATCCCTTGGGCTGGGGCAGTACAGTGGCCTAAGTCCATCTCCAGTGCAGAAACTTCCATCTCAAGAAGCAGAACTCAGTGATGAATTAGGTTCTTTGGCTAGTGCTAGCTAGTCCTTCTGGCAGCTTGAAAGCTTAGCTCTAGGGTTTACAAATTGAATCTAAGAAGGCTAAAAATAAAGTCTTTATCCTTGGCAAATGGGGGCCAGATGACTAAGGCAGAAATGAGCATCTTCTGTTGCCTCTTCTAGCCCAGATTTCGGAGCTAAACAATCTCTCAACAAATTATAGAAAAAAAATAAAGAGCAATGTTCAAATCACTTACTTAATAATATTGGCAAATGGCACAAGCCAAACACTGAATTTACTGATCTTTGTCTCTTATAATTGCTGTGAACTGTTCATTATAGTTGCATCTAGTTCCTGCTTTCTTTTCAATAGTATTTATCCAAGTAGGAAATCATGATTGTGGGTCTGGTGCCTGCTCACACCAATCCCTTACTGCAAATCTACTTTTTATTCCACACAAATGTCAACAAATTTAGCCCCAAATGTGCATCACTGATCACTTAGCAAATGTATTTTTACTTCCTTGCCTTCACTAAACAGAAGGCAGGAAAACACTTAGACACACATAGGGCAGCAGTAGCCAAGGGCAAAAGAAAATACAATCTCCAAACACATCTTTCAACTGCAATATTACCCAATACCACAGAAGCTAAAATAAGTATCAACTGATCTACTCACAAGTTCTTGATATAAAATGTTAAAGCCAAGAATCAAGAAGTCTATGCACAGACTCGAGAGCTGTATTATTTATAAGCAAGATGGCTCAACCATAGCAGGTTATAACAGGACACTGACCTCATTGCTTCTCCTCCTCCTCCTCTTTTTTTTTTTTTTTGGCTGTTTATATAAATCATAAACTGTAGTTTATGAAAGGTTTCACATAGACATCAAATCAGGGATCTGTTTCTTACAAGCCATAGAAGGTTGCAGAACTCGCTTAAATATGAGTGTTCTAATTTCATCTTGTATGACCATCCACTGGGGCAATTCTCTGATTCTCATTCTACAAAGACTTTGCTTCCGAACAGTAAGAGTTTTCTGAGAGTCAATAGGATGGGGCCACAAGAGACAAGCAATCTCATCACAGAAACTTGCCTTAAAAAATGGAACAGATGGATAACTTGTGACTCCACCGAGCTACCTGGAACCAGGTGAGGAGAACAGGCCTTTTGTATAAGGAATGCATAATGATGAGTACATTCTTCTACTTCTTCTTGAGGTCTACATTGAAAGGATGCTTTCCAGACTAGCACAACTAACACTCTGTCCATAAAGAGATTCAGATCTGTTTCTGGCTGAAACCATAGGTGGTACAATAAGGATATTTCCTTAAAGAATAAAGTTGTCTATGTGTTTTGAAATCTTTTCAGTTGAAAGATACGCAATTCCTCTTTAGAAATCACAGGTGATCAGCATCTTGTCAGAGATCTAACACAAGCTAAATTACACTCAGGAAACACCAAATACAAAAGTGCAAGACATTAACCAGATGGAGAAATGTCCACAAATACTTGATGTGACCTCATTAACTAGATGATATGAAATGAAATAGGGCAGTTAGGAAGGGAAAGGAGTTTTCTGGAAATATTAGCAGAAATAGACACTTGGGTGAACAAGCATTTCTTTAGTGTTCTAGAACATGAAACATTAATCTATGTCTTGTTTTTCCCTTGAAGCTTATGTTTGATAATTGAAAGCAATATTCCATTAAGGAATATTTTATTAATGTATGTGAATCTGGACATAGATCAAAAGACCCTCCGATACTTCCCCATCCTCAGAAATTTCTCTAGAATTTTAGATCAGTCTTTATTATTGATGTCACTCATGATTGTCTTGAGGCAGAGCTGGAGCTCAGAGTAACTGCCAGTTGAATCCAAATAGCATCTGATTAGTCTCCTGGCTCCGAGCGATCTCTTCTATAATGCAGTGCTGTTGCCAGACCAAATGCAGCTTCCGATACCGCTCCCGAGATAAATGAAGTGGGTTTCCCCTCCTTCAGGAAAAAAAAAAAAACAAAGCCGACATCTAAGCATTAATCAATAACAATGGCATTTCTAGTCTTAAGTCAATATACACTACCAAGACATCCCTGCAGTGTGAGCAGAAGCATCAGGACAGGGCTGAGAAACAGGGCAACTTTTCACTGATTACTAAGAACTTGTCACACCACTTAGTTAAGGAAGCAAAAATGGACTCCTTGACTATTTGGGAAATCAGGTCTCATACATGAGGAACATAATGAGACCTCATTTAAACAGGTTCTAACTTGAAGCAGCTCTGGTCTTTTCTGGTGGTTAGCTGAATGGGGTTCTAAAGGCTTTCAGTCTTCACAATTTACCCAGCTTCAGTTTAAGATTTTGTGTAGGAGGTTAGGTTTGAGGCATAACACTATGCCCTTAACTCCTTCTTCTGCTTAGAAACAGTTTGTTTTATAACCACCCCAATGATTCATCTTGCACATGCTTAGTTTCTTGTTTATGTTTTTTTTCTCAGTCTTGTTACAGTATCTAGGCTGGGTTTGAACAGTGATCCAATGACCTTCCTGCTTCATCCTCCCAGGTAGCAGGGCTACAGACAGATGTGCATCATTATACCTGGCTTAGCAAATGTTTAAGTAACTACAATTCTATTCCAGGGTTACCTAGTTTGCATCACTGTGACAGCTAACCCAAACCCCTGAAGTCTGTTGAGTACAGGGCATCTCAGCCCCTGGAACATCATCAAATGTCTCAGCTCCTTGTCAACTTTCACACTGTTTATTATTAACTTAAAAATTCTACATTTTTATACTTTTCTAGACCAACTCAAGATTATCCTGGGTTATTAACTATTTTGTTGTTGTTGCTATTGGTTTTGTTTTTGAGATAGACTTTTACCAAGTATCCCTGGCTGGTCACTATTCAGATCTAAAGAACCTTAAATTCACAGAGACCCACCTGCACTTGCCTCTTGTGCACTGGAATTAAAGGTGACCTCCACCCTGACCAGCATTAAGTATTTTTACCACTCAGTACCTTCCCCTTAAACTTAAAGGCAAGTCAAATGTTGTCTCAATAAAAACAAATCCCTACATAATCCAATAGATCCCAAGCCCTATCTAATGACTCTACTCATTTTGGATGATATTTTAAAAGAATAACAAAGTTTGGGAGAGAACTCTGTTAGTAAAGTGCCTGCCATGCAAGCATGAGGCCCTAAGTTCAAGGCTCCTAACCTACATAAAGAGCTGAGCGTGATAACGTGTGGTGCTGACCAGCCACCCAGACTCCTAGAATCAGTGAACCTGTCTTACTATCTCACCAGGGCAAGGTAGGCTGAAGAATGGGCTCAGTGGTTAAGATACTTACTACTGTTGCAGAAGATTGAGGTTCAGTTCCCAGCACCTAAATGGCAGCTCACAACCATCAGTAACTCTATTTCTAGGTTTTTATGTTTAAAGAACTGTTAATATACACATACAATAAAGCAAATAAAATATAAGACAACTGATTACACCTTCCATTAAAGAAAATCTTACTTTAGCCCTGGGTCTGTTTCTCCATATTCATCCAAGTAAGGAGCTGGGTAGGCACAGCCTCTGGCTTTTCCTTCCACCAGGACCACTCTGCATTCTCTGATTCTGAAAAATAAAACAAATGTCAAGAAACACTGTTAGATACATATATGCAGATGATAGACATTGAACCAAAGTTAAAGACAAGACATGGCCAGTAATCATTTAAAAAAAAATCAATAAAAAGGCAATACAACCGTGGATGAATACACTAAACTGTGGGGTGTTTTATTTGTTTCTGAAGATAAGGTCTCTCTGTGTAGCCCTGGCTGTCTTGTAACTCGCTCTGTAGACCAGGCTAGCCTTGAACTCATCTATCTGCCTCTGTCTGCCCCATGCCAAGATTAAAAGGCATGTGCCACTACCACCCAGCAGTAAACTGTGTTTTGTCTGAGTAGAAGGAACAAATACTGCTGTTTTTCTTGATGCAATAGAAAAGGATCCATGGATCTAGAGAAATGGGAAATCAGTAATTCTGGCTGGATATACTGAAGGGGAAACTGCCCTGTGAGTCACAGGACTCTGAAGAAATGTGGCTGGGGCTATTTCTGCCTTTTCCTAACTTGCTACTTAGGCAGAAGGGGGCTTCAAGGAAGGACAGAGCATCCTCCAGTCTAGAACTGTCAACCAAGGAAGTGTTAAAGGCTTTCCTACTTTAAGCCAGCCTCCAATAGTACTTTGAGGGCCCTTGAAACACTTATTGCAGAGAAATGGTTAATGACCACAATGAGAAATCATAAGACAAACAAATTATAAATATAGAGTTGGGATAGGCAAGCTTATTCCTGTGGCTTCTCTAGAAGCAAACAAGGATTTGAGTTTGACTTCTTTGCTGTCCTTCCTCTTGTTTCAAAGGTTACCTTTAAGCAATGATAATACCTCACAGTAAGTCTTTGGGGTTTTTATAGACAAAAATTGAATTTCACAGGAAAAATGGACAGAAAAAAAACACAGAAATCGACTTTAAATTTTACTTCTCTCATGTAAGCTATCTTCTCCATAAACATCTATCACTATTGTTCTAAGTAGTCAATCTTTTGTTTAAAGAAGTAAATAAAAACATCTAAAAGACAAACTTAAGCAAGAAGGCACTTGGGAGGCAGGATCTCTGGAAGTTCAAGGCCAGCCTGGTCTATATAGAAAGAACCTGTCTCAAAAATAAGTAGCTGGGTATGATGGAACACGCCTTTAATCCCAGCACTCTGGAGGCAGAAGCAGAAGATATCTAAGTTCCAGGCCAGCCTGGGCTACAAAACAAAGACAACCAAAAGCTACATAGAGACAACCAAAGCTACATAGAGAAATCCTGTCCCGAAAAACCTAAATAAATAAACAAGTAAATACATTCATAAGGAAGTCTAAAGTTAATCATTTACACATACTTTATAAGCATAAGTTTTAAGATTTTTAAGCTTTCTTTTTATATCTAAATATTAAACTACTGGAATCACTGATATATAAAGTCTATACCATTTAAGATTTCTCTAACAATGAAGGAATGTAAACGGATTTTTTTTTTTTAAGAACTACTTATTCTACTGGCATATTCACTGGATACATGGTTTCCACTAAGACCCTTGGTGAGCCTCCAGATGACCCCATACTCACTTTAGGAAGATGCAGACTCCAGCACCACAATGAAGTGCATGGAAAACGCATGCTCCAACCTCTTCCCCATTCACTATCTCTTGGCAACAGATGTTCTGAGAGCACAGGATGGCCCCACAGAACAGACAGAGGACAGGATGCTTTCGCTCATCATCTGCAGACCGTGGACACCTCAACAGGGGAAGACACATTCAGTGTGTTGTAAAAACAGGAACCAGATCATGTATCTACTTAGTAATAAAGTATGTTTCCATCACTCACCCTACTCAGCAAAGAAATCTACTAAAAGACAAAGGATGTTTAATTAGATGATTGCTCCTTTATTTTACTTGAAGAGTACATTAAAAAAAATGATTAAGGGGCTAGAGAGATGGCTCAGTGGTTAAGAGAGCTTTCTGCTCTTCCAAAAAATCTGAGTTCATTCTAGCACCTCACAACTGCCTGTAACTACAACTCCAAAGGATCTGATGCCCTCTTCTGGCCTCCATGGAAATTTGCACACATGAGGCATATACACACATTAATATAAGTAACTCTTCAAAAAAATGTTTTTTAAACTTAGCTCCACTTAAAGGAGGCCTATGCCACCAGAGACTCTTGCTCCAGGTGACCAGTCAGCAAAGCCTCCTGAGCCAGGCTCATCTCTGTGCCCACTGCTCAGGAATTTTGCTCTAGCTCAACCTCCTATACCAAGTGATGGACCCCAGTGTCCCCTCCTCGAGCCACCCTATGCCTGGGAACCTCCTGTGCCAGACCTGTACTGCTCTTTACCTTGGTGAGAGAAGTTTCTTACTGCAGTGGGTACTTGTTAATTCACGGAACTGCTAAATATGGCAGGAATTAGCAACTGAGATGGGCCAGCCACAGATGGAGCATGTATATCAACCTTCCCTACATGTTCTGACAAATGCTGTCTCCTGATCCTGGCATGGCTGCTGTGTACATAAGTGCATAGCAGTTGTCATTACTTGCAGTTAAAAATTCCAGTGTGGACTTGAATCAGTTAAACATACTTGTTACGCTTGTAGAGAAGACCCAGGTTCAATTCCTAGCACCCACATGTGGCTCATAATGATCTGTAATTCCAGTTTCAGGGATCCAATGCATTCTTTGGGTATCCATGGGCATTAGACATGTCCATGGTACACATACATACATGTAGGCAAAATACTCTTTTTAAAAAAAATTGTTTTATTTATTATGTACATTATTCCTGCATGTATGCCTGCAGGCCAGAAGAGGGCACTAGATCTCATTATAGATGGTTGTGAACCACCATGTGGCTGCTGGGAATTGAACTCAGGACCTCTGGAAGAAGAGGCAGTGTTCTTAACCTCTGAGCCATCTCTCCAGCCCCAAGGCAAAACACTCCTACACATAAAAAAATAAAATAAAATCCAGCACGGAGTAAGGAGGGGCTACTTAGCCACCAGCTGAGGAACTATTGGAAGCTGATGTCTGCTGGGGGTGAGGAGTCACTTTTCTTGGTGGTGGTGGTGGGGTGGAGCCACTCGTAAGTTGCCCATCCCCTACATCCACGCCCATATGGGCAGCACTAATAGGACTCTGAGCTAAAAAAACAAGAGTGTCAAGTTTCAAGGGAGGTGTGTTTGGAGAGAATGCTCCGAATTGAATTGGATGAGGGTAGAGGAGAGTGGGTATGATCAAAACACACTATATACATGCATGACATTTTCAAAGAGTAAGTAGCAGGATATAAACAAGCAAGCCATACCCAGAAATCTGTGTTTATATGTGTGGGGCTCAGAAGACAACTTAGAGGAGATTGTTCTCTGAGTAAGCAGGCTTGGTGGCAGCTCCCTCACCAACTGACCTCTCACTAGACCCTCATTGGTAACTTGGTCACTTCGTCACAATAATTTCATTGGTTGTAGGGTAGGCCAAATACAAGCTCAGGAAAGTTATTGTATGCTCGCTTTCTCTCTCTCTCTCTCTGTCTCTCTCTCTCTCTGTCTCCCTCCCTCCCTTTCTCCCTCCCTCCCTCCCTCTCTCCCTCCCTCTCTCTCTCTCCCTCCCTCCCTCCCTCTCTCTCTCTCTCTCTCTCTCTCTCTCTCTCTCTCTCTCTCTCACACACACACACACACACACACACACACACACACACACACAACTTTTCTTCTTACCTAAAGTGAGAAGCTTGATTTAGAAGACAGCTGTAGTCATCAGGAAGCTCTATCAAACTATTTCTTTTTCTAGGGTACCTAGAAGCATAGTTTAAAAGGCAGTTTTATATAGGAGCAAGCGGATTAAAACTGAAGAAGCCTTCAAGGCATGGTATATTTACTTATCTATAAACTAAGGTTGAATATATTCCAACCATGGGCATATAATCAACTTAATGTTTTCAGGAAAAATAAAGAAGAGAAATATTAAATGAACTCTGTTAAGATCTAACAGTTCAAGAGACAAGAGATGAAGGCAAATGTATGTTATCTTACAATCTTTACTTCATCCCCCCCCAAAAAAATGGTACTAGGAATCAACTCTTGTACCAGTTTATTGAAGCAATTCAATCCACATAAAAATTAGATGGTACACATAATCACATAATGTAATATAAGCTAGGTCACAGGTAAACATGCCATTTTCTTGTATGCTGTTTAGGGATTTAGGAGGCTGGCAGATATATAGTACATATATTCACATGCCAGAGAAGATAGCTTCATGGAAAAGGTGGCATTTGGACATGTACTTGAGGGAAAATGTAGATGCTGACAGAATCATAACTCAAGAGAAAAGCGGGCTGAAGAAGCTTCTTGTTAGTTTGGAAACAATCTCATTTCTTTACAAAGCCCATTCGAGCCTATAACTCATAAACCTCAATGCTTCAATCTCTTGAGTGGCTGGATCACAGGTATGTGCTACCATGTCCAGCCTAAAAAAAATTTGTCTTTTTTTTTTTTGAGGTATGCATGGGGTCTCCTACTTTCTAGGCATATACACAAGAAGGGGAGAAGACTGGTCAGAACTATTTACATCATTATTCTCAAAGGGTGAGGGCACTAGTTTATATGACAGTGTAAACGGCCATCTCCTGGCTTAATAAACTAGCAGCTCCCAGACACAAGCTCCTTTGCCTTTTGACAGGCAGGTACCAATTTAAGGATGATTCCTCCAGTGGAGCTGGTGGCTTCGGACAATTTAAGAAGGAAGGGATAACCATTCTGAGAAAAAAAAATCAGTGCAGGAAGAACCTGATGTCTGTCAAAGACCAACAGATACACAGGAAACAGTGAACTGAGAATAAGGGGACAGACCAGAATTAAGGTAAACCAACCAAGCATTTAGAATCACAGTTCTAGATGTATCAAAAATAGTAAAACCAACCTGACCACAGCACTTTTCCGCTTCAAGGAGTTGAGTAAGGCAGGATCTCCACACCACCTGTAAGTGGAGCCAAGGGAAAAGAAGGCTGGCAGTCAGAGGCTACTGCCGTGGGCATTAGCTGCTCTCTCCAATCCCCACTCTGTGTATTTAAGTTTACCTCTTTATCTCCTTCCCTACCCTTCCAACCCCTTCTAAATTATTTTTCAAGGATTTGGTCAATTAGTCTTTAGAACAGAAACCATCTACCAAGCTAAATGAGAAATTATTACCAGGAAATAGCAATACAAGTAATAGGGACTCTGCATATAGCATAGTATGGGGCACTTGCCTAACCCAAGGCTCTAGATTCAACCCTCAGACAGAGGAGAGGTGGAAGGAGTGATAGGAGGACTGAGAAGGCCCTTGAGATAAAAGGCAAGTAAGCCTTAACTATCTGCCCTAGTGCAGGTCGGAAGAGTGGGAGGAAAGCCGGCACCACTGTTGCCCTGGGTCAAGTCACCAGTGGGTAACAGGATCACAGCAGGCTTTTCTGGTGTCTCACAGTCACTACTGAAAAGGTGTCCTAGGAGGCAGAGAGAGGTAGCTGGGAACTCTGGAGTCCTTATCCTTCCTTGCTTCTAGCACCTTGCTTGTGCCTCCCACTGGCTACACCTACACTGAATCCAGATGACAACGAACACAGAGACGTCTCCTGCAGAGCAGACTTGAGGCAAGCAAGACCAGGGAGAGTCAAATGGCAGAGACTTCCCTAATGTTTAAACTAAGATAGCACATCTGAGACTCAGCTACTCCATCCTCAACTACACTATAAATGAAGTTTGTGTGATTGACTGTATTAAAACAAGTGACATTAATTCCTAAAAGCAATTCATTTTGATTGTATGAGAGATCACAACGCCCACGAGAACTTAGGAAGCAAAGCAAAAACCTGACGGAGAGCCCAACATGAGACTAGAAGCAGGAGACAGACAGGCTAACATTCACCCAGCTCTGACCTGGGCGTGAGAAAGAAAAAGGAAGCAAGGAGGACAAACAAAATCATGGGAAATAGAGAGTTCAGAGTAATACACTGAAGCCGACTGAAAGACCGGTAGGACAGACAGATGCAGGGAGAGGAGACACTGGAGATGGACAACAAACAAGAGGTCAGAATCCCGTGTGGCAGAAGGTCTTTCTGAAAGGGAGGCCATGCCTCTCTAGGTCATTTCAGGGCTCATCTGCTCCCCCAGATGCCCGTCTCCCAGCCACTCTCCTGACGTGGTCTACCACATTCTCCAGTTTCACATACAGTTCCAGTTTTCACTCTCTTTATCCTTTTACATAAGGTTCCATGTACTGAGAACTAGATTCAAATGTGCTACATCATCAAGGGATGGCCTTGAACTTCTAACCTCTAGACTCTACCTTCAGAGTTCAATCTGGGCTACATTAGTCCATGTCTTAAAAACATAAAAACAAACGTTTCAAATTGAGCCCTGGAGGAGTCTGTGGATGAACAGAGTTTGGGGTCAACACAGCAAAACACTGTATCAAAGCCAATCAAAAATTAAAATAAACATAAAAAATTCAAACTAGATAAAACCCATCAATCATATTTATCCCCATAGTACCTCTGTAGTAAGGGCCTTATGGTATCCCAATATTCCTGGAAAAGCAGGAACAAATTTGTGGGTAAAGATAGATAGCTACAGAGTGCACTGAATTCTCCTTCACCAGAATCTGCAAGAAATATCAAGATTATTATTATTACTACATTATTCTGATCTACTCAGTGTGAAGGAGCTTCTTCATTATTTACACTCATTTCTATCTGCTCCATAAAACAGTGGGTGGCAAGTAAGCCACAGTGATTCTTTTATAACACAAATCTGAATCACCCTGATCAGAAGGCTCCTATGACTAACCACTACACTTAGTATGCAATACAAAGTCTCTTCTTCTGGGGATAGTCTGTGGAGACAGGTGGTGCTTTGCTAATGATAGAACCCAGGGACTGGACTGGTGATATGCTCTACTGAGCTACACTCTAGTTCACAAAGTCTTTATTGCGGCATAAATGCCAGATGAAATGCACACATCTGGCTACCGCCTGGGCCTCCCTGCACAGTCGGTTTCCAGCTGGAATCATGTCTTCACTGTTCTCTTACAACACCTTCACACTGATTGACATTGTTACCAAGCAACACCTTCACATTGATTTACATTGTTACCAAGCAACACCTTTACATTGATTTACATTGTTACCAAGCAACACCTTTACATTGATTTTCTCTTAAACAGAAATACTCTTCAACTCTCTGTCCAGCTCAGCTCCATGTATGCTGCTCTTTGTTTAATGTCTCCATGGAGAATGACGACCTATGTCCAAGAGTCCTGACCCTGGCCGTGGTCAGCTTTACTTTGCAGGACTCATCACCACTTGGTACTATATCATGCATATTTAAACTTCTTTATATTAGCTTGAATCCTAACAAAAGAAAATACTTTATTTATTTATTTATTTATTTATTTATTTATTTATTATTATTATTATTATTTTTGTTTTTCAAGACAGGGTTTCTCTGTGTAGTCCTGGCTGTCCTGGAACTCACTCTGTAGACCAGGCTGGCCTTGAACCCAGAAATCCACCTGTCTCTGCCTCCCAAGTGCTGGGGTTAAAGGCATGTGCCACCAGTGCCCGGTAATACTTTATTTTTTTATGATAGTTTTGGATAAAAGTACATGAATTTTTTATGTGTGGCAGGACATAGAAATTACTGAGAGAATAACATCCTATTTTATAGAGAACCCTGACAAAACTTGATCACACCTAGCCTACTGAACTGAGTTCAAGATAAGGATGTTAACCCCATTTATGCATTCTCAAAGGACAAAATGATCCTCTGGAAAATCCTGGTCAATTTTAAAATCAAACAAATATTCTAACTCTCACAAAGAGGACACAGTAAGTATGGAAGTCTTCTCTGCTTCTGTCTAGATTTAGAAATAAGTAAAGGAACAAGAAATGATGCTGTTAGTAAATACAGGTGCTGACATTCAGAAGGCCTTTTTGATCATTATTTTAATCCATCAGTATAGCTATATGTTCAAAATCCAAATTCAAGTATATAATAAAGTCACCATCCTGCCTAAACATCTCTAATTCCCTGTATATCCTTATATTCTTCATAAAGGTAATTAGTTTATTTATTTATTTATTTATTTATTTATTTATTTATTTATTGGTTTTTCGAGACAGGGTTTCACTGTGTAGCCCTGGCTGTCCTGGAACTCACTCTGTAGACCAGGCTGGCCTCGAACTCAGAAATCCGCCTGCCTCTGCCTCCCAAGTGCTGGGATTAAAGGCGTGCGCCACCATCACCCGGCTGAGTTTATTTTACTTTTGAAGCAAGTTCTCACAATATAGCTTAGGAAGCCTGGAACTCTCTATGTAAACCAGGCTACCTTCAAGCTAACAGAAGTCTGCCTGCCTCTGCCTCCTGAGTACTGGGATTAAATTGTGTGCCACTACATTCAGCTTGCACATATGTATTTTTAAAAAATTGTATGCATACCTGTGTATGTACACATGTACATGTATTTGTGTGCACTTGTACATGCTCACAAGCCTTGCTTTCATGTGGAGGCCAGCGGACATTTTTGAAGAGTTAAATTCTTTCTTTCTACTTGGTTAAGCCAGATCTGTTTTGTTTCTGCTGCTATACTGGGAACTCCAAGCTGGGCCACAGCCTTCAGCCTTCACAGCCTTCTCCTGTCTCTGCTCTCATTTCTTCATAGCAATGCCAGGATTACAATTGCTTGCCACTGCATCTGGTTTTTAAATTTTTATTTACTTTTTACATTTACTTACTTACTGGGGGAGGCGAGGGGCATGACTACCCCACCGTGTGCATGTTGTAGGTTTGAGAACAACTTGTAAGAGTTGGTCTCCCCTTCTTCTGTATGGGTTCCAGGCTTGGCAACAAGGGCCTTAGCCAGGGAGCTGTCAAGCCGCCCTACACTCAGCCTATCACGTGGGGGATAGGGATTGAACTCAGATCATCATGCTTGCACTGCTATCTCCTGACTGTCTCTCCTTCCCCTTGCTCACAGTTTCTAATAATTCAAGCATTTAACTACACACACAGGAACTTCCAGTAGGCTTTGTAGCTTATATGAAACCAAACTGGATTTTGGCCTCGCTTTTAATTTTAACTACCCCTGGGCAGGGGCACCTGGGATCAGCATGAACACAGACAGGGCTGTGTTCTGTCTGTAGGGCAGAGGTGGTTCCATTGTTCTCTCTGTCAGTGAAGACAAGTCTCCCTTTGCTCTCTGATTTCAGTCTACTTACTAGCAAACAGTTCTTCAGGCGGAGTTACCCCAAGTAAATAGTGGAAGAGCAGCGCCGCACAGCGGAGGTAAGGGGTGATGCCGGTCCTCAGGGAGAGCCACAGGTACCAGCCGGGAGCGCCACGCCCAATGAGACTAGAAGGCAATGATTCCAGAACAGAACATTTACCAGATTGAAACTAGGTTTTAAACATGACCCTAAGCATTTAAAAAAAAGTATTCAGCTAGCCAATAGTTTTTAATGTATCTATTTTCTAAAGGAAACCTTAACTTTTATCTCTTTTTCATCAGGTAGGGTTTTTAACCCCTTTTCTTCTGTCTGACAGCGACACTAAAGCCCTATGAGCATTAGGCAGAGACTCTGCCAAGGGTGGAACCCCAGCCTCGTCCAGGGAGACTCTGAAAAGTGAATAGCTTTGGTTAGGTAAGGAAAAAAGAAAGTGAAACTAGACAAAAGTCGATTGAAAAAAAAAAAGCATTTTAAAGCATCTTGAGTCTGACAAGGTTCTCCCTGCAATATACAGCAAAGCTTGTAAAACCTTTATTTTCTTCCCATCGTTAATGAGATAAAAAGCAAAAACAAAACAAAAACAAAAAACTCTCCACCCTTGCAATGAAATAAGAAAAACTTAGTAATAAAGCAACTGGATTTTCTAAAAAATGAGTATGTTTCTGGTGCCTATATAAACTCTGATAGCAATCTGTAGAGTAACAAGACTACTGCAGTGGTAAAACTTAAATAATTCAAACTATGGCTTTCAACTAACAATAGCATGTCAACACTATCGGTTCTAACAAACAAACCACCAAAATACAAAAACGTGTATGGGGAAATAAAAGTGAACATTTTAATTCTCTGTTCAATTTTCTTGTGAACTTAAATTGGCTATATACATTATATACAGTGATTATACAGTATATGCACATTAAAATATAAATACAAAATTAGTTCTCTGCCAGGCAGTGGTGGCGCACGCCTTTAATCCCAGCACTTGGGAGGCAGAGGCAGGTGGATTTCTGAGTTCGAGGCCAGCCTGGTCTAGAGTGAGTTCCAGGACAGCTAGGGCTATACAGAGAAACCTTGTCTCGAAAAACAAAACAAAACAAAAAAACCAAAACACCAAAAACCAAACCAAACCAAAACAAAATTAGTTCTCACATTAATAATTAAACACATCAAAAGCCTTTAAGTATTTACACACATCATGGTACAATCACTGTAACAAGGCAACTTATTTTCTACTTTTATTTAAAACAGTTCTAATCTACTTCATTTCACTTTGAGGTAAAAATCAAAGTAAATGTTCTTTACTATAAGGCTATTCTACAAACAAAATCACAAACTAAAAGGCCTTAGCTGATTTTAAAACAAGGATTCAAATGGCTGAAAGGAACACTGCCGAACTTTTGAACAAAGACCTAGACTCACTGAAAGACGCCCAGGCCAAATGGCCAGTGTCTGCTACTCACCCATCTGTGTGCTGTGAGACTTCCACAAAGAGAGCAGATGCACAGCGAGCCTCCTCACTGTCCTCTTCACCCTCAACAAGCGGGAGCCCTGGAGACAGACCTGCAGGGCAGATTTAAACATTTGCTCGCTGCTAGAGAGGTCAAGGATGCCACAAGAAACCCTGCAGAATACTAACCTGGGCCCACAGGGGCTCATTGAGACTGAACCACCAACCAGAGAGCATGCATGGGACAAACTTTAGGCCCCTGCACAAACATAGCAGATGTGCAGCTCGGTCTTTGTGTGGGACCTCTAACAGCAGGAGAAGGGACTGTCTGACTCTGGACTCTGTTTCCTGCCTTTGGTCCCTTTCTCCTGACTGAGTGCCTTGTCTACCATCAATAGAAGAACTACTTCTACTGTAACTTGATATGCCAAGGTGGGTTTAGATCCAAGGGAGGCCTTTCCTCCTCTCAGGAGAAAAGGATGTGTGTGTGTGTGTGTGTGTGTGTGTGTGTGTGTGTGTGTGTTGGGGGGGGAACTGGCCAGAGAGGAGAGGAGGGAGGAGAGAGGAGGGAGGGGAAGCTGTGATCTGTAATCTGTATGTAAAGTAAATAAATTGATTAATTAATGAAAAAAAAATAGACCTAGCTCCCCTCCAAAGATTTTGCTCCCTAACAAGTGTGTTAAACCTTAAGTTCATGATTCCAGAACATTCCTCTAACTGCTTTGACCTTTATATTAAACCCCTCAGCTTCAGGTTTACTATATAGAAATAGAGATAAGATGGCTACATTGCAGTTTCTTATGACAGATTGCTATGGCACACTTGAACAGAGTTATTGTTGTATTAATGCACTTGAAAGGTCATAAAATTTCTCTGAATGATTTGACATCATATTGCTTTTCATTTTCCAAATAAAATGAAAGGTACACATTATCTTTAAAAGGATTGGTAGGATAGTTCAGTAGGTAAAGTCACTTCCTGACAAACCTAAATTCAATACCCAGAACCCATAGAGTAGAAGGAGAAAATTGACTCCTGTAAGTTGGTTTGACCTCCACATGCGCATGATGACACAGGTATCCCTTCCTCCACAAATAAATAAATGAATACAATAATCTATTCAACTTGGAAATATACTGAGTTTGTATTGATTTTTCCCCCACTCAAGTTAAGTGATAAAAGTGAAGTGTTGCTCAGTGGTAGAATGCATGCTTATATGTTCTAGAACCTGGGTTAGATCCTCAACAGCATACATACACACAAAAAGCACAGAAACTTCAAAATTATGATATGCATGTCTGCATGTGAGTTTGTATAAATGAATATGCAGAGGTGAGACAGGGGAGGCAAAGTGAGTTTCACACAGTGTGAGATGAGCTCAGGCAAACCGTTTGAAGAGTCTGACAGAAGCATCTATGGAATGAGATTATTGGTTTGTTTGTTTACCAGTGAACTGAGCTGGGAAGGAGATAAAGTATCTGTCACTCAAGCATGAAAACCTGTGTTCTGACCCCCAGCACGCATCTAAGAGCTGGGCATAGCACTCACATAGGTTGAACAGAAACAGGCAGATCCCCAGAACTTACTGGCTACCCAAACCAGCTTAACCAATGAACTCTCAGTTCATTGAGAAACTGTGCCTCAAAAACTATGATAGCAAGTGATTAAAGACACCTAACACACTGACCTCTAGCCTCTATAGGCAGGTCCACACTCACACAAATGTGAATATAATACACATATACATATGGAAATCAATAAATTTAATTGAGCTGGAGGTGTTCAGATTCATAGCAAAACTGAGCAAAAAATATAGAATTCTATATATTTCTGATCCTACACATAGAGAACTTCTATTTAGCAATATCCGACATTGTTCATTTTATGTATATTATTGATAATTACTTTGACCGAAAGTTTATACTGACAGACCGACTCTAGAGTCTAAGCCCAAAGTCACGCCTCATGCCTGTAACCTATCACTTTCAGCATAACAAAGGAGGATTGCCAAGAGTTCCTGGACAGCCTGCAGCTACGTAGTGAGTTCAGAACAGCTTGGCCTAGAGTAAGACTGTTTTTTAAAAGTGGTAAGCCTGGGGCAGTCGTTAGGAGAGCTCACCAGTCTTCAGAGGACTTAAATTTAGTTTCCAGCACTCACTTTAGGCAACTCATAACTTCCTGTAACTACAACTCCAAAGGATCTGATGCCTCTGGCCTATGTAGGCACCTGCATTTAGAATACAAATTCATAAAATTAAAAATAATAAAACGGAGTTTTTGAAAACAGTTTACGCAGAGAGGCAAGTCCTAGAAGAGACAGTTCAGTATTGAAGGAGTGAAATAAGGCTGAAGGGCTGACCTCACTGGACTCAAGACTATCATCCAAGGCTCACTAAGGTTCACTCAGGACGTTCTGCGTCCGATGGGTTTGGATAGCATATATACATACATTATACAGAGTAGCTTCAATGTCTCTGTGCTTTTCCTTCTTCACTCATGCACACCACTGTTCTGCTCACATTCTCTCCAGTTTTGCCTTCCCCAGAATGTCCTGGAGTTGGACCTGTAAGTATCTTTCACATTGGCTTCTCTCACTTAGTATATATGCTCAAATCTGCTCTATGCACTTTCAGGACTGGATAGTTCATTTCTTTCTAGAACCAATAATATTCCACGGTCTAGATGTACCACAAATTGTTTATCAATCAACTAATGGCTACCCTGATTGTTTCTTTCCAAGTTTTCTCTATTATCTTATGGCAAAAGATTCTCTGTAAAAATGAAACACATGCATGTAGTACTCAGGGTAGTCAGAAGAGGGAGGTGGATTCTCTAGAACAGTTGTGAGCTGCCATGTAGCTGCTGAGAATTGAAAATTGAACCTGGGTCCTCTGGAAGAGAGGCCAGTGCTGTTAATCATTGGTCTATCTTTCCAGCCCCCTTTAACATGTTTTTTTTTTCTTTTTTTTTTAATCTGATTTTTCTTTAATTTTTCTGAATTTTCAGTAGTTTTCATTGCTCACTGTTATCCAGAACCAGACTTTATTTATTGTTCATTTGTTTTACATGTACACATATGACATATGGTATATATGCATGTATGTATGTATGTATGTATGTATGTATGTGTTTTACATGTGTGTGCACACATGCATAAGGAAGTCCAAAGCTGATACTGAAATGTCTTTGTTGATCACTTTCCATCTATTTATTTATTTATTTCTTGAGGCAGCAGCATATCTCACTGAAGAAGTTTGCCAATTCCAGTTAGTTCAGCAAGTCAGCTTGCTCAGGGATCCCTTGTCTCAGCCTCTTGAGTGTGGTACCACCAGCCCTGTCTAGCTTCTGTGTGGGTTCTGGTCCTCAGGCTTGTACAGCAAGTACTTTACCCACTGAGCCACTGCCTAGCACTTCATTTGCTATTAATGACTTGTCTCTAAAAGGATATTTAGAATTTTATGTTATATTCATGTAACTCAAGTCATGATTGAAAAACATTTAATGAATACTTATTGTGGAGAACCAAGATTGCCAGATACTTGATGCTAGGGCGAATGGTTTCACAAAGTGATAGTTCTCTGTAATCAAGAAACACATGTGCGGAAGGAGAAGCTGGGCAAGGAGTGGAATGAGCTACAAATAACTGTGACATAAAGTAACCTATGGCAGTGCAACAGGGTAAGAAACATACTCTCACTGGAACTGACAAAATGGTTCCTGAAAGGCTTGGCAAAGGCAGAATGTATGTGGATAGAAATAATCCTGGAGAGACTTTGATAATGAGGAATTTGGAAGACAAGGAGAAAAACAGGTCCTAACAGTCCCTCTACATATCTGGAGAGTAGCTGGAAACTAGACAATCACATATCTTGAGCTAATTACCCTTTCACAGCTTATTCTGCCTTTACCTATTTAAGTAACATTTGGTAAGAAATACATGAATAAATAACACATGGCATAACACAAGACTTAGAAATACATAACACGATTAATCACAAACATAATTCATTCTGCCAATAAAGCACAGGCAAAAATTACTTACAGTCATCTGAGATGGGAGCTTTACCTGTCTCTGTTGTAAGGAGTATCTGAAGCATATGTGCCATGGTGATCAGATGGAAGAGATAAAGGTGGTTATATGAAGAGCTAAGTAATGAAGGCTGAAGATCCACGGTGTCATCCCAATACAAGGATGGGAACGCTAAGACAGCGCCCACCTATAAAAGAAATGGACAGCAACAGGGTGACTGAGAAAAGCCAAGACAAACTGACTTCCTAACTAAATGTAAAGGGGACCAGATGGTGTAGTTTTGTTATTATTTTGAAAATAACCACCATACTTTTCCTAGTGATATTCAACAGAATATCTTAGATTATAATTATAATGCACCATAAATGGTGAGCAAAGGCCATCACCAAATACCCCTTTGCTGAGGCCACTTATTGTAGACTAGGAAGACAGTAGACCTAGGTAGCAGTTCTCTGCTCTGTAGGTCTGAAGATTCTGTGTTATAAGTACTTGGATGTCCTTAAAAAACACTGACATACAGGCCTCATTCCAATCCAACAAAATCAGACTCTGAGGCAAGGTCCAATTGTTAAGATTCTTTTTAAGATTCCCCAGAGGATCCCAAAAGACTCAGAGTAGACAGCTACTGAATACAGACTTAGATTATAAGGTATGAATGAGGTGGACTGGCTAACCTGATATCCACAAAATCCATGGCTTCAACCTTACCACTGTGTTCTTGATTGGACTAGGTTTAAATGAGTACGATTATTGCAAGGATAAAAGGTTCTGCATAAAACTCCCAAGAGTTGCCACCTGTCCACAGGTGTTTTAAGGAAGCTGCCATGTACGTATGGCCTGGTCTCTATTACTAGATAGTTAATGATTATATTTAATTTATAGCTTACATGGTAATTCATTGCATATGATATAAACAAGTTTAAAAAAAAGGGAGTGGGGAGGAGCCATAACAGAATTAGAAAAAGTTTATTTGTATGCATATTATCAAATATAACTAGCTACAAGACCAATCATAAATTAAAAAAATAAATGTGCTTTCATTTTAAAAATAATTTTGCTGTCTCAATGAAATCTGTATTTGTAAAAGAATGGATAAAACATCAAATGTAATACCTTGAACATCAAAATTTTATTATTTTGAACAGGAAACATGAATTTAAACAAGAAAAAACATGAAATTATAAGCTTGGTGATTTCAAAATCATTTTAATGAACACTTACCAAAACATGAAATAGATCTACAGATAGAAGGCATGGTGTATTTTCTGATTGTAGGTTAGGAAGAACAACTAAAACAAAAGTTAATATAGTTCAGTCAGTGAAGCAGTGATGTACTTGAATAAAATGCAAACTGGAAGCATTAAATAAAAGTATAATGGAGCTAGAGAACAGAGTCCAGTGCATCACACTTTTAAGATATGGTTGTCATAAAAATGCAACAATAAAAGGCCACTAGAAAGTCTCCTATATAGCTTAAGAGTTGGCAGACAAGACTTAGGAGAAAAACCTGAAATAGATTGCTCAAGAAATATTTGCTAGAAACAAGGGTACATGCTTATCACTTGTGAGGCCCAGGTCCACCCCCTAGCAGCTCCCACCTTCCACTTTTGAAATGCTGAATGACTGACTCGATTTGTGTGTAGGTGATTGAAGCCAGTGTCTTGAATGTGCTGTCAGAACTGTGCCCCTGATCCAGCTCCTGCCCCAGAAGAATGGCTTTTATAAAGAAATTTCCTCTATCATTTTTCCACCAACATTTCTAAATGTTCTGTAACATATGGTATGTGAACAGATTCAGGATGGCGAGCAGGGAGACCTTGCAATGGAAAGGAGGACACAGAAAACCTTCCTAAGTACTGCTTAGTGGTTAAGAGCAATGGCTGGTTTTCCAGAGAACCTGGGTTCAATCCCCAGCACCCACATGTCAGCTTACAAATGTCTAATTTCAGTTCCAGGGGATCTGACACCCTCATACAGACACACATTTAGGCAAACTACCAATCCACATATGAGTATAAATAAATTAATTAATTAAGGAAAAGGAAACAAAATCCATTTAAGAAAAAAAATAAAACCTTCCTATACAGAATTAGATTATATGGATTATATTTGGAGGAAGTATAGACAGATTGAATGTGATACATTTTTTTTTATGAAAATTTGTCTTACACTCAAAGAAACTGAAACTTTAACTGAACTTAACAACCAACTTAATAATATACTTAATAATAGACTTAATAATAGACTTTTAGGTCTTGGCTTAATATCCTGCCTATTTATTTAGTCTGCCTTTAAGAGAACAATGTTAACAACCAACCTTACTGGCCTTGGATTTCTTCTGTATTCAGCTTTTACAACCAAAGCTAATGCATTATATAACTTCCACGCCCCTGACCCAGACAGCAATACAATTGTCTAAAATATGTGTTATGGTAGTCATTAAAACAGCAAACAAGTTGAAAGTGACCTTATGCTACAAATATCCACCATAAATGTTGGAAACAGCATACTGACATTGCTTGATAACAGTATGTTTGCAGTACCAGGTGCTCTGGGGTCATGTGGAATCATGTGGAGGTAAACATCTCTTATAAACCTCAGTATTACAAGATTAAAGAATCCCTTATTCATTCTCCACACCATGTTTTCTGTGTTATTAGGGACAAGACCAGAGTAAAAGAGACAGACATTAGGTAGACATAGACAGACAAGTCTGAAAACATAAGCTACAAGCAAATGGAGGACACAGGGAGAGAAGTGGAGAATTCATACTTGAGCTCAATTTTGGTTAAATTAATCCAAGGAGAAGTGCTGAATTTCCTTTCTTTGTGTGACAGTGGCACATTTTGGTGCCTCTGAGGATACCATTAAATTGGTTTAATTGACAAATACTACAAAGTATTATCTTTTTAATTTGATCAATCTTTAATTAAAAACTAGGAACGAAAAAGACTGGCAAGGAAATGAGATCAAGAAGTTAAGACAACAGGATTTTCATTTCTTTTTGTGTTTGTTGAGTTGGCCTTGCTATGCAGCCCAGGCTGGTCTGGGAACTAAAAATGTTCCTACTTCAACCTCATAAGTGCTAGAACTACAGGTATGAGCCATCGTGCCTGGCTAGAAATAGTTTTGTATCTATAAAAGCAAAAAAAAAAAAAAACCTTTTATATACGTGTATAGGTGTGTGCAGAGGTGATAGGGAGACCAGAGGCCAACCTTAGGTGTCCTAAGGTGCTGTCTACCTTGTTTTTCTGAAATAGGATGTCTCATCCGATCCTATGGCTCACTAATTAGGCTAGGCTTGCAGGCCAGCCAGTACCTTGAATCTACTTGTCTCTGTCTTATTGGTGCTGGTATTAAATTTGCATACCACCATGCCTGGTTTTTATGTAGGTGTTGGAGAACAAAGTCAGGTCCTTATATTTGCTTGGTGAGTATTCTACTAACTGAGCTACCACCAGACCTACCCAGACCCAGTACAGCTATTGCTTTAAACATTTTTTATTTATTTCAGTGTATATGTACACGCAAGTGTGCGTGTATGCACATGCCTGTAGGTATGTTAACCTTTTTTGCAAAGGCAGAGGCCAGAAAAGGATGTAGTATCTCTTCTTCTATCAACCTCTGCCTATTCCTTTGAGACAGTTTCCCTTTCAACCAAGGGCTAACATTTTCTTGGTTTACCTGGACCAGCAAAACCCAGTGTTTTTTTTTTTTTGTTTCCACTCCTATCCCATCTCTATCCCCAAAGCTCGGGATATAGTACTTGTGGCATGCTTGGCTTGTTACTTGGGTACTGGTATGTAAGCTCTACTCTTCATGATAGCAGAGCAGTCTTAACCGCTGGGCCATCTCTCCAGCCTCAACACAGCTATCACTTTTAAAACTAAGGGAGAGAAATTTCTGCTCAGACTAATTTCTTTTTTTTCTCTCTCTCTCTTTTTTTTTCAGACTAATTTCCTAACTGAGTAAGTAGCATAAATATTAAGATCATGATTTTTGGATACAAGACTGAAATAGGTTCTCATACTGGCTATTTGTTACAGGGAAGCATTTTGACTTTTCTAAGTCTACAGTATTTATAGGTTGCTGAGGAGTTTATTAACATAGACTTTTAAAGGATTTATACTAGGTGTGGCATATAATAACCATAAAGTGTTCTTTTTAATGCTCTATCTTAAACTAAAATGATCACAGGGTTTTACCACTAACAGGCTGAGTGTCTGTAGTGGTTTCAATATGCTTGACCCACGGGAAGTCGGCACTATTAGGAGGTGTGGCCTTGTTGGAGTAGATGTAGCCTTGTTTTAAGAAGTAAGCTTCTATGGGGGTGGGCTTTGAGGTCCTATGCTCAAGGTGCAGAAGAGATAACTGACTGAACCTCTGAAACTGTAAGCCAGCCCCGATTAAATGTTTGCTTTTCTAAGAGTTACCTTGATTATGATGTCTCTTCACAGCAATGAAACCCTGACTAAGCCAGTGTCCTTGACAAGTCATTTGCAATTTCTAGGTCTCATTTCTTTGTGTTAAAATTTTTCACTGGGCAGTGGTAGTGCATGTCTTTAATCCCAGCACTTGGGAGGCAGAGGTAGGGGGATCTCTGTGAGTTTGAGGCCAGCCTGGTCTACAGAGTGAGTTCCAGGACAGCCAGGGCTACATAGAAAAACCCTGTCTCAAAAAATTAAAAAAAAATTTTTTTTCAGCAACCCTTCAGATAATGTAGTCAGCAGCATTATATACTTTATCTATCTTATTGTCCTTCCAGGATTACAAACTGCTTTATTGTCAGGACAGTTAAAACATATAAATAATTTTTAATCCCTGTTCTGAAATTTGATCCTTTCAGTGACTAGAATATCCTCTCATTATCAAATTTTTCCTACAGGCAGTTCTAAAACATTCCCCCCTGGTTATTACAAATATTTATTTTAAAATTCCTTTGAAGAGTGGGTTGTGGTTAGCACAAGCGGGTAACCTTAATCCTTGGCAAGCCATGACAGGAAAATGAAAGTAAGTTTGAGTTCCAGGCCAACCAGAGCTACAAAGTGACACTGTCTCAAAAACAAAACTAAACTCCATGAGAGCGACAAGTTCACTTTAGCATGCTTAGTCTTCGTTTTATCAATTGCTCATGGCCCTCTTGCCCCATCTGAGGTGCTGGTGAGTAAACCCTGTCCTTGTGTATGCTAGGCACAGTGAGTTACAGCCCTAGTTCTCGCCTCTTACTTGTTTACAATCATGGATATGCCTTATTCCTCACTTACAGTGAGGATGATAACTTTCTCAAAGACAGCTGATTATTCATTCATTCATTCATTCATTCATTCATTCATGTGTATGTATTTGTGTGTATGTATATGATTTTCTTAAAAATGTCATTAAAAGTTTCTCTCAAAATAACCTTAAGTAGAAAAAGTCTCCATTAGTCAATTAAAAGGCAAAAGTAAGCTGACTAGTTTATAAAACCAAAGTCCAATTATCTATGGTTTCTAAGACTCTAAAAAAACTGAGCCAAAGGATGGGACTAATGTAACTGTGAAGGCTATAAATAGGCAGCTCTTTTGTCAAATAGAGCAGACCCGACCGTAAATAAACAGAAGACACAGACAGGGCCACTACATACTAACAAAGGGAACATATTATCAACAATATATAACAAGTTTGTTTATTTGGTGCATCAAGACAGTTTGTTTATTTGGTGTATCTCTGTTTAACAGCCCTGGTTGACCTAGAATATGCTTTGTAGACCAGGTTGGCCTCAAACTCACAAGAGATCTTCTTGCCTCTGCCTTCTGAGTGCTGCCCAGCTCCAGTTTTTTTTTTTTTCTTTTGGAGGCAGGGTCTCTCTATGTAGAATTGGCTGTCCTAGTACTCACTTTGCAGACCAGGCTGGCCTCGCACTCACCAAGATCTGCCTGCCTCTGCCTCCCAGGTGCTGGGATTAAAGGGTTGTGCTATCACAGACCCAGCCAAAAGTATACATTTTAAAATAACACTTCAATCATTAAGGGGTAGTTGTGCATCTTCCTATTTGGGCAAGTCTGCTGCGGGCAGTTAGCCTTTATCAGTGAGTGTTTATAATCAGTACAGTATGTCATCTCCTAGCTGAAATATACTGCCATAAATGTAGAAGAAAACACAGGTAAATACTTAACATAATAATGAAAAGAAGTCCCTACCTGACAGGAGCCGAACCAGATGTTTCTGTATCAGGACCTGAGGACAGGTAGTTCTCTGTGCAACCGCAAACTGCATTAATGCTTTCAGACCATTATGCTAGATTGTGAGAGAGGTAAGATAAAATGATAGGTGACAGAGTTAGGTCAGGATGATAAGTAACCAGTCCTGCCTACTATGCATTAATGCATTATATACTTATCAAATACTCACAATATTTTATTTTTTGAGACAGAGTCTATCTATGTATTCCCGGCTGCCCTCAAACTGAGGAATCTTTCTGTATCCTTCTCCCAAATGCTGGCATTAAAGGCTAGCACCACCACACCCAGCTACAATATTTTTAGTACATAAAAAATGCTTTATAATTTCACTATACTTTCGAATTTTCCATTAAAAAGAAATGTTAGTTACGATCATTTCAGTTCTCAGCTTTGTTCTGTTTTCTAGATTCAATCTTTTTTTTTTTTTTTAAAAAAAAAAAGATTTGTTTATTTTATGTATGTAAGTATACTGTCGCTCTCTACAGACACACCAAAAGAGGACGCCAGGTTCCCATTACAGATGGCTGTGAACCACCATGTGGTTGCTGGGAATTGAACTCAGTACTTCTGGAAGAGCAGTTGGTGCTCTTAATCACTGAGCCTCCACACTCGACCTTTTAAACATGGGGCTGTTGAATCCTGTGCAAACTGTATTTCTAGAAATTCTAAAATGATAGTAAGAAGCCATGGAACAACTAGAATACACCTTCTTGTTCCCAGCAGCAGTATGGGAACTACAGGGACACACACACTGTGGACTGTGAGTTTCTTGTAGCACCTGTCAGGAAACGAGGAGGGAAATGCCTACGAGGCAGTGGGCTAGGGAGCTTCTGTAGGTGCCCATTAGTTTTTACAGTGCTACTGAGCACACATTGAAAAAAACAAAACAAAACAACAAAAAACATAGCTAACTAGGTACATTTCATGATTCTTTGAGGATATGGGCAAGAAGGACTAAAGAGACAGGCAATAATAACTATTACTATTATAATAATATTGTTATTATTACTATTAGTGCTGAGAATTTAATCAAGGGCTTCATATATGCTAGACAAGTGCTAAATGTACTTCTTGGCTACTTACTAGTTACCAGGGATACATATTCTTTTTATGAAAAAAAATTTTTTTCTGTGCATGTGTATACATGATACCTTGCACAAGTAGATTCTCTCCTTCCATATGTGTCCTAGAGATTGAACTCAGATCATCAAGATTAGTGGCAAGTGCATTTACCCACTGAGCATTTCACAGACCTTAGGGTTGCCTTTAAAAAAAAAAAGTATGTATGTGTGTGTGTGTGTGCACTTGTATGCACATGTGCTGGTTATTTTGGTCAATTTGACACAGCTAGGGTCATTTGGGAAGAGGAAACCTAAATTGAGAAAATACCCTAATTAGATAGACCTGTAGGTGGTTCCACCCCTGAGCAGGTGGTCCTGAGGGGTGTAAGAAAGCAAAATGAACAAGCCATGGGGCACATGCCAGCAAGCAGTGCTCCTCCAGTCTGCAGAGTTCCAGCTTCTAGGTTTCTACATTGACCTCTTGCCCTGACTTCCCTTCCTGATGGAGTACAACTCTATGCTGACATAAACCCTTTCCTCTCCAAACTGCTTTTGGTCATGGTGCTTTATCATAGCAATATAAACCTAATGAACACAGTGTATATATGGTGGAGCAAACGTAGAGCTCAGGGACAACATGGGTCAATTTGTTCTTCTACTGTTTTCTGTGGGGATCAAACTGAGTTTATCAGGCTTCGTGGCATGTGTCTTTACCCACTGAGCCATCTACCCTGCCCTGAGTGTCTAGTCTTTAACTCATCATGCTTACCTGTCTAGAGCAGAATCCATTAATATTCAATGTTATATGATGGTGAAGCGTCAGTGAGGAGAAAACATAGATGTTTCTGGTTTTAGGCACAGCAATATAGGGGAGGGCAGGAAAGGAGTCAAGTCACGTGGAATTTGTGTGAATTATACTTAACTACTGAAATTGAGAAAATTCCGTAAAGCACATAGCACTAACTATCATGTTTACTCAAACTGTAGCGTAGTCCCCACACCAACTTCTGCTGCTCTTTACAGAAGAGGGAGCACAGATGTTTCAGTGATAAATAAGCTACGGAACCCCCTTTCTAAAACAGTACCCCAGAAACTACCGAAATCTATAGGAATGTGCATACCTGCCTATTTTGAAGTGCTCCAAATAGAGGTTTTCCTTCATCTCCCAACAGGTTTTCTTAAAGAAGAAAAACATAATAAATCCAAAAATATTACACAATTTACTGTTTTAGCTGTGGTTTGGTTTGTTTTCTTCTTCACCATGGAGCCCACGCTGGCCTCAGTCTGAATAAATACACACCAGTGAATTGTCCTGTACGCATGCTGCAAGTCTAACAGGTCTGTGAGTGGCTCCTAAAATCTATCCTGAGACTGAAGCAAGAAAGTTTTTGAGAAGAAACTGCACATGCTACTCAGTCCACATTATGACACAGTGTATTGTTCTAGAAAGGGATTTAGTAATGAAAATGTAGATTTCATTAAAACTGTGACAAAAAATGTATTGAAGGGAAATCTAAACTCACTTGGATAAAGATGGCATGAAAGAGACACATTATCGTCTATGTAACGACACGCCCACTTACAAATCTCAGTGCTTCTTGCCCACTTTGCATTTCCCTGGGAAACTTAAAATATGACAAGGCATCTGACAGGTTACCACTCAGACCTAGTTCTTTCTCTCCTGGTCACCTCATATTTCCTCTTCCAGTAAACTTTGTTTGTTTGTGACTCTAGTTCTATTATCTTTTTTCTTTCAAAGTATAAAATAACTTTCCTGTAAAGTCATGAGTTGATTCCTCTCACTTGCATTTGTTCTTGACCTGGTGTTGTAAGAGTGCCGCTACTGTTTGAATACAGGGCTTAATGCTAGCCTTCAAAATACTAGCCATTTGCATGGGGCTACTACAGTAGGTGAAAAAGATATATTAAAAATTCTCAGGTCACACCAATACACACGAAGTAGTACCAGTCCTCAAATACAGCAAACTCTTCTGAGTCATCAACAGTGGAGCAAACACGTTCTCTTCAACCCATGTGAATTCTGTTTCATTGATACTGCCAAAGCATCTTTGGTTTTATTTTGTAAAGAGGCTTTACCAATTGCCTGGATGGTGAAAGCACACGTGCTCCAGGTCATCATGGGTACTCGGGGGTCCAGCTCATCAGGAGGCACTTTCAGGCCTATTCTGTAAATTGTTGTGGCGAAGAGAATGACCATTTCCTTGATACTATTTGAATATTTCACCCTAAAAATAAAGTAAGAAGAAATCTGTCCAGTATTTTGGAAAAAAGGGCTGCTTCCTGAGGTCAGAAAGCAACAGAATCAATTTTTTGACATTAAGTGCATTGCTTACTTTCGTTACTGCTGTAACTAAGTATTAGACAAAAAGCAACTTAAGGAAGGAAGGGTTTAGGCTCATGATGTCGAGATAGAGTTCATCATGGAGGGGAGGCATGTTAGAGGAAGCAAGTCACGGCTGAGACAGCAGGAGTGTGAAGCTGCCTGTTCACGTGTAGGTGGACTCCTTTCCCCCTTGTTCTGCAGTCCAGTCACCCAGCCATGGGATGCTTGCTAATATCCACATTCCATGTGGACTCCCTCCCTCAAGTAATCCTCTCAAGAAAAGCCTGCACTGGGGTGGGAAAGATGGCTCAGAGGTTAAGAGTACTGGATGCTCTACTAGGGCATCAATTGAATTCTAGCACTCACATGGAGGCTAACAACCCTCTGCAACTCCAGTTCTAGGGGACCTAATGCCCTCTCTTCTGGCCTCCACAGGCACTAGGCACACAAGTGATACACAGTCAAAAATGAAGACAAAACATTCATACATATAAAATAAAAGATAAATCTTTTTTTTTTTTTTTGGTTTTTTAAAAAAAGGGTTTCTCTGTGTAGCCCTGGCTGTCCTGGAGCTCACTCTGTAGACCAGGCTGGCCTCGAACTCAGAAATCCGCCTGCCTCTGCCTCCCAAGTGCTGGGACTAAAGGCGTGCACCACCACTGCCTGGCTAAAAGATAAATCTTAAAAAAAAAAAAAAAAAGCCCACAGACAGAAAGACAGACAGATGCAAGTGTGTCTCATTAAGGTACTATTCTTAATCCAATCTAGTCGGCTATCAAATTAAACATCAAAATAAGTAAAGTATCAAACTTGTCAAACTAGGGATTATAGATTTAGTCATTAAAAAAATAGGGAAAGCCAACCTGTACCTCCTAAAGGTAGAAAACACAACCTCTTACAAAATGGCACTGGTCCATATAACTGTACAGCTGAAGACGCAGTAATGAGCACAGCTGGAAGGGTCCAGGCCCAAACTAAGGACAGACTGAAAAGAAACACAAAGTTCTGAGGAAGAAGACCTCATCTACATGTTCTGGTATTCTGAAAAGGTATCAAAGTATTTCTGCATTGATATGTGTGTGCATATGTGTGTGTGTGTGTGTGTGTGTGGTTGTGTGTATACATTCATGCTGTGTATATGCATGACAGGTAACCCCAACAAGCACTTAGAGTGACAGTTTCTGGTTTCACTTTTAACAAGTATTTGAGTAGCAATAAGACAGGTAATATGAGGGGCTGGAGAGATGGCTCAGTGGTTAAGAGCAATGACTGCATTTCCAGAGGTCCTGAGTTCAAATCCCAGCAACCACATGGTGGCTCACAACCATCTGTAATGAGATCTCATGCCCTCTTATGAGGTGTCTGAAGACAGCTACAGTGAACTTACATATAATAAATAAATAAGAACCTTTGGGCCAGGGCAAGCGGGCAGGACTGGAGCGAGCAGGAGAAGAGAAGGGTTAAAAAAACAAAAAAGACAAGTAATATGATAAAGGATTGTAAGTAGAAAAGGTATGAGGTAGTCATGTGCGCAAAATAATAATACTTCTCCTGGGACATTATATATTTTTCAAAGTATCTTTTATAACTTTGAGGAAGATTAGGGCACTCTCAATTGTACATGAAATACAAACTGAGAGTAAAGTGACATAAAGTTTTTTCAGAAAGTCACAGGCAAACAAAATGCAACATTAAGTGAAGCCTTTACATCTGATCCTCTTGTAGCTTTGGTTGTTGTTTGTTTTGTCAAAACTGATTCTGGAGAGGCAGGGGGCGGCCTCTCCTAGTCACTGCAGGTGGCTCAGAGGAGAAGCATGTCTGCTGTGAAGCCTAACAGTCTGCGTTTGTTCCCCAGAGCGTTGTCCTCCAGCTTCTATCACAGTGCCATGAAACATGACCCCTGCCCTCCGAAACACACACACACACACACACACACATACACACACACACATACACACACACACACACACACACACACACACACACACACATACACATATACACACACCAATAACATTTTTCTAAAAGAATCTTAAACCATCTAATTTTACTAAACAAAACTTTAGGGAGAAAAAATGGACAAAGAGACAGTTTTACAAATGAAAAAAAAAAAGGTTAGCTCCAATATTTATTTTTACAAACTTTTTTTTAGAGGCAGGGTCTCACTTGTAGCCCTGCCTGGCCTGGAACTCACTATACAGACCAGGCTGACCTCAAACTCAGAGCTCCGCCCACCTCTACCTCCCAAGGGTGTGCCATGACTCTCCACTTCATAAACTCTTCTAGCTCGTTAAATACTTACGAAGACTGAACTCCAAAACTCAGGATGGAATGAAACTCAAAAGTAGAATCCCCCATTCCTTGATTAAACAAGACAGGAACTGCTGGAGCTTCTCCTTATAAATTAAATGAAAAAAGAGATAAAAATCATGACTAAGTTTAGCCTAACAATCAACTATCTGGCTGTTAAACCATACATAATCCCTTCAGAAATGTTAGTAAATAGTAAAAAAAAAAATTCTCTGCTTAGATAACACTTTTTTCCTATCAATCTCACACATACGGGTTTTTCTTTAAAGACATCATACAGTGCTGCTGTCTGCATTTTGCTTTCTCTTCTAATAGGTAATGAATATTTTGCCTCATTGGTAACTTATTTCATTTTTTAAAAAAATTTAAAACCTGCATTTGTATTTAATTTAGTGTGCATGTATATGTACGTGAGTGTGTTTCTGTTCGCGTGCATGTACACCAGGTATGTGGAGGTGGTTCATGTACATTCCAGAAGACAAATTGCAGGACTTGGATCTCTCCTGCCACCAAGAGAAGTCCTCAACCTAATTTTTAAAGCAGGATATGGTTGCACCTGTGTATAGTCCCAGCCAGGGAGAGGATGAGACAGGAGAACTGCTTAAGACCAGGAACTGGAGCATAGCCTGGACAAGATTGCAAGAACCCTTCTCAAACAGACAAAGACAAACAATATGAATTAGACTTTGCCTTCATTTATTGATTATAACCTAATAAAGATACTTCTTCAATAAATAGTATATGCACATAGTAGAGAGAGTGTGTGTATGTGTGTGTGTGTGTGTGTGTGTGTGTGTGTGTGTGTGTATGTGTGTATACAGGCTAGGGAGCCCATGTACATGCATAAGGAGGCCAGAGAAGCACATAAAGCACCTGCCTGTACCACCTTCTACCTTACTTCTACAGACTCTCACTAAACCTAGGATCACAGACTTGGCCATCGGACTCTTAGGATCTATCCATTCCTTTCCTCGAGCACCAGCATTTATCTAAGTGCTGGGGCCCCAAAATCAGATCCTCATGCATGCACAGCGGACACCTCACTCACTGAATCATGTCCCTAGCCCCTCTTCACCAAACATTTTAAGTGATTTTTAATTTCATTTTTCTAATCCTATCTCCATGGCAACATTTGTCACTCACCTGTAAAAAATATATACATAAGGTAACAGCTTTAATACATTTTTATTAATATTAAGACAGAATATTACATACTATTCTGTTTTTCATTATGAAAACTGATTGAACTGAGTAAACTGGTAGCCAAAAAGTCTTGGACTCAAAATCTCTATTTCCCGATATTCAAAAAATTGGTACTTTCAAATCATATTTTAGTATAATAATTACTTGGTAAAAAAATTAAAGATTTAGAGGGCTGTAGAGATAGTTCAGTGGTTTAGGGTACTGGCTGCTCTCCCAGAGGACCTAGCTCACAACTTTTTAAATTTCAGATCCGGAGATCCAATGTCCTCTTCGAGCCTATGAGGACACTAAACTCTTGAAGTGTTCCACTAACATACATGTAAGCAAAACACTCATAAACATACAATTAAATTTTTAAAAACTTAAACATTTAGAAACAATTTTCAAATGTCCAATACAAATAGATTCCCACAAACCTTTAGCATGCTTCATATTATAACCTGATATTCTTGCAAGGACAGTCTGTATCCACCGTGCCAAGGTCAAAAGTTGAGCAAGAGCTTCTGCATTCTCACTACAAAAAAGGGACATTTAGAAATGATCAATTCAATTGGTACAAAGACAATCTACAGGGGTAAACTTGAGTCTTTCCTTGGATATATTAAATATTAATGGAAATATTAAAAACATGAGCTGTGCGATGATTTTTTTTTTTTATGCCTAGCACTTGAGTGGCAGAGTTCAAGACCAGACTGGTCTACACAGAGAAGCCCTGTCTTGAAAAAAAAAAATCATCCAATTCTGCTGAGCATGGTGGCACAACCATTAATCCCAGCATTTAGAAAGCAAGGGCAGGCAGATTTCTATGGGTGTGAGGCCAGCCTGGAATACATAGTAAGTTCCAGGCCAACCAGAGATATATAGTAAGACCTCATCTCAAAAAAAATTAAATAAATAAAAAGTAAAATTAAGACATCATTTCTTCATTTTAGTAACATTCTAGGTCATGAAAATGTGACTAAAAATGTAGTTGGTACAATGACTAAGACGTAACTGTCCATCCTTGACTGAGCAGTAGTCAAATACCAGTAAGTGGAAACGCCACCATGGCTGCTCATCAACTGCTAGGTGACATCACTGGCATTCCTATTCCTCCACACTGAATCTGTAGGTTTCAGGTTCTAACATATCCCAAGCAGATTGCTTCTTCCTACCTCTAGCTACTATCCTCCTGGAAGTCCTGCCATGTCATGTGAACTACAATAGCCTTTAATAGCTCTTTCCCCCTTTCTCTTTAATTGCTCAGGGTTTTGAGACAGTATCTCTTTGTAGTCCTGGCTGTTCTGGGTCTCATTCACTCTGTAAACCAGGCTAGACTTGACCTCTGCCTCATAAATATTGGGATTAAATGTGTCTGGGTTCCTTCTGCTTCTGTTCTATATTTATTTATTTATTTATTTATTTATTTAATGTATATGAGTATACTGTAGCTGTCTTCAGACACACCAGAAGAGGGCATCGGACTCCATTACAGATGGTTGTGAGCCACCACGTTGCTGGGAATTGAACTCAGAACCTCTAGAAGTGTAGTCAGTTCTCTTAACTGCTGAGCCATCTCTCTATCCCTTCTATTTGACTTTTAAGTATGAATTTACCATATAATAATAAGCAGGATCTTCTAAAACTATAAATCAGATTTTGATATCCATCTGTTCAAATCAGACTGGTGGTTCTTTACTGTACATAATATTAAACAATTCTAACCTTTTCTCTTGGCCTCTTATGATTGGGCTCTTTGCTATCCCCATCCAGGCATACTGCCTTCTTGCTATGGCTAGAACATGGTGACTATGTTTGTACCTTGGGACCTTTGCTCTTAATGTTCTAAAACTATCTTCCTCACTGACACTTGAGAAAAGCAACTGTTTAGCCTGCACTCGGATCTAGACTCAATGTCATTGCCTCAGAAACAAGCTGTCTGAAGTCTGTCTGTCAGGCACTAGTGAGCCTCTAGTATTTCCCTGGTATTTCTCATAGCTCAATAGCTCATATGAGGTTCCTGCAAGTCTCTCCTACATGGAGTGTACACTCCATAGAGTAAGAGTTAAGTGAAAGGGCAGTCTTACTTTAAGATTTATTGCAGCCAAGCAGTGGTGGTGCAAGCCTTTAATCCCAGCATTTGGGAGGCAGAAGCAGAAGGATTCTATGAGTTCAAGGCCAGCCTGGTCTACAGACTGAGTTCCAGGACAGCTAGGGCTACACACACACACACACACACACACACACACACACACACACACACAAAAGCCTGTCTTGAAAAACAAAACAAACAAAAAAAAGATTTATGTATGTATGTATGTATGTATGTATATATGTATGTATGTGGGTGCTTTGTTTTCATGTACATCTGCACATTAGGAGAGGATACTCTGTAACTATAGTTGTAGCTGGTTGTGAGCTACCATATGGATGCTGGGAACTGAACTCAGGACCCAGGCAGTGCTCTTAACCACTGAGCTCTCTCTCTTAACCCCTGAAAGGGCAGCCCTATAGTAAAATATAAAATGAACTGTGCAAATTTGAATATCTAGCATCAATCTGACCCAAGAAATATGTTTGATTCTCAAAAGAGAAAGTATATTATGACTTAGAAAAAAAAACCTAACATGTTTTATTTTTTTCATTTTTTATTTTTTTTTTTGGCTTTTCGAGACAGGGCTTCTCTGTGTAGCCCTGGCTGTCCTGGAACTCACTCTGTAGACCACGCTGGCCTCGAACCCAGAAATCCACCTGTCTCTGCCTCCCAAGTGCTGGGATTAAAGGTGTGTGCCACCACCGCCCAGCCCTAACATGTTTTAGAAAGAGAGTTTCCATGTATATGAAGTGCACATATGTGTAACTACAGGTGTGTGCATACCATAGTACATGTGCAGACATCAGAAGACAAAACCTTCAATATTGGTTCTTTCCTAATAACTTGTTTGAGATGATTTCTTTGTTGTCTGCTGGTACATACACCAGACTAGTTGGCCCCAAAACTTCCAGATTTTCTCCTATTTTAGCCTCCCATCTCCACATAGGAGGACGGGGGTGACAGACTAAGTGCTATAAAGACTAGCTTTTACATGAATTCTAGAGATCTAAACTCAGGTCCTTCTACTTACACAGTAAGCATTTTAACCAGCTGAAGCACCTCTCTGGACCAGTTTTAGTTTTGATAATTTTTTAAAGATTTGTTTCTTTTTTATTTTATGTACATTGGTGTTTTGACTGCATGTATGTCTTTGTGAGGGCGTCAGATCTCCTGAAACTGGAGATACAGATAGTTGTGAGCTGCCATGTGGGTGCTCTGGGTGCCATGTGGGTGCTCTGGGTGCCATGTGGGTGGGAATTGAACCTGGGTCCTCTGGAAGATCAGCTGGTGCTCTTAACCACTGAGCTGCATCTCATCCCCCAGTTTTGATAAATTTATTGTATAATGTTTTACATCAAAATGTGAGTTTGAGGACTAGAGCGTTGGCTGTGCAGTTAAGAGCATACACTGCTCTTCAGAAGGACCTCAGTGTGTTCTTGGTACCTACAGTTCACAATTCCCTATAACACCAGCTCCAGGGAATATGGCACCCTCTTCTGGGAGTTAAAGACAGTGTCATTCACATATGCACACTCCCCCAACACATATACGTAACTGAAAATAAAACAAATCTTAGTAAAGACAGTTGCTACTTATTTAGAAAGCAATTAAGATTTTTAAATATCTTTATTTTGGGGAATCATTTTGTAAAAAAAAAAAAAAAAAAAAAGCTTATGTGAGCTAACAAGGAATTATAAGAAGCTGGCCATGGCAGTATGGGCCTGAAATTTCAGCCATCAGAAAGAGAGTCACAAACTAAGGCTTGTCTCAAACAACCAAAACCAACCAAATAAACCGACACTTCTCCCCACCCTCAGAAGTTAGACATGAGATCTGGGTTCCAATCCCGAATCTCTCAGAACAACCAAAAACCACTCACAGTGGCTATCCAACACTTTATGTTTAAATGGAAATAAGTACCAACTTCAGTAGACAACTGTGAGAGTTAAATAAGACATGGCGATGCACGGTACACTGTCTAAAGCTTATCGATTATTCAACTAATCAAGGGCCAATCTTCTTGACACACCCTTGTTTGTATACGGTGGCATTATATGTCCAACTATGACAAATAAGAGAAGTCCCAATGACAAGGACTAGTGAGATAAAGTGACTGCTTCTTAATTAACTCTGTTTGCCAAACACTCGACTTCCACACATTTTTGTTGGGAGGGGCACAGTGAGTGCACGCTGCTGATCTGTGGAGCTGTGTCTTGCACATCTAGGGAAGCGCCCTACCACCGAGTGATAACATCTCCAGCCAAAGGTATTTCTTCAAATTACTAAAATCATTTCCATTGCTGGAATTATCATTACAAATTGCTGATTTAAAAAAAATTAAAGAATAACTTTTTTAAAATTTGATACAGGGTCTCACTATGTAGCCTTTATTAGCCTGTAACTTGCTATATAGATTAGGCTGGCCTCAAACTCAGAGATATTCCTGCCTGAGTCTCCTAAGTGCAGGGTGTGCACCACCATACCTGGCTAAGATGACAATTTTGTTATCATCAAGTAGAACAGTAAGAATGTGGAAATAGATAATGAATGTTCTACTTATTAAAGCCAGTGAATGTCTGTTAAACTGCAACAACAGACTGTCAGAACATAAAATATTTTAAAATTTAAATGCTCACAAATTATTCAAAGATACGATAAATATAATTATTTATTTTTAACATTAACCTTTTGTACAGATCTCCAATAGGATTTGCAACTTTGGTGTTCTGCTGCTTTAATGGTGGGTAGAAAGAGCACAACACACTGCTTTAAGTAAATGAAAATCCTAGTTCTCTTCAACACCAAAAACTGGGCTTTCATCTCATTTGAAAGCACGATGCAGGCTTCAGAATGAGAATGGTATTGGTCTCTAATCTCTGTAAGGAGGGACAAGGCAAGTGAAAGTTTTGAGGACAGCCTGAACAAAGGCTGAGCGCACCTGTTGATCTTCTGTGGCTGCAGAGGAATGATGGGGATGACAGTGTTGCAGAGAGACTTGCAGAGGGGGCACAGGTACTCGCCGCTCTCCAGGTCAAACAGGTCAACGTGTATGCGCTGCTGAGAGCTCAGCTGTACAGCTTCAAAGTACCTGCGAAATTCAAATGGAGGGCGGGGGGCTTAGAACAACTCACGTGGCTTTGATCTATTTTCAGTAAAAAGTTATACAATTTTGGATTTAGTATCTTTAGAACTTAACACAAAAATATGTGTTATAATCATAGATGCCCACTTGGGGTGTAAACAAACTGGGAAATACATTACGGCAGATACAAATCGGAATGACTTTATTGAATCCTCTAACTTGTCCCCTGCCTCAACAGCAAGTGGACATTCTTGGAAACGCTCAATGAACATACAAACCACTGAGGGTTTTCAATAGACAATTATGTTTCTAATCTGGTAGCAAATGAGTAAACCATACAAAAAATTTATCAGAAGTTAATGCTTAAATTTTTCATTTTTTCTCAAGATAAAACCAGAATATGTCATATTGCAACGATATTTTTGGTTTCTTTTTCTTTTTTCAATACAGGACTTCTCTGTGTTCCCTGGTTGTCCTGAGTCTGGCTCTGTAGACCCGGCCTTGGAACTCATAGGTCCACTGCTTCTGCCTTCCTAGTGCAGGATTACAGGCATGCACCACCACAACTGGCAACAAAGATACTTTTTACTACATATTTTATGTTTTTAATTTTTGTCTTTTAAATGAAGACTACTGCTTCTCTCACATGCCTAGGACAAGCAGTGTTAATACTATTTAGTTTTCTGGAAGCAAGTGCATTTCCAGTGCTTGGGAGTAAGCTATGGCAGCGCACTGTGCATGCTAAGTACATGTTATATTATCACGCTACACGCTAACCCTCAAAATATCTAGCTGGGAACTTGATACATCAATTTCAAAGGCTTATAATAAATAGAAATATAATTAGTAGCATGAAAACAGAATTAGTAATTAAAACTGGCTTAATTATTCCACAAGAAAAACAGAAAGAAGACATGAGAAAACATGCCTTTTGTGGTGTGTAGTAAACGCCAATATTCCTAGTCTCTTTCAAGAACATTCAGAGGGACAACTTACTTCTGCCAGCACACTGCATGCATGACATGACCACAGCTTCCTGTGTAAGTTCCATGGGCCAAGTCTGGGTCCATGAAAAGAGGGTCCAGCGTTTCTGGTTCAGAAAGACACAAATAAGAGGTACGTACTTATGTTTTCTAAAGTGTTAGCGGAGAGGAGTGGAGAAAGAGTTTTCAGGTCTAAAATGCTAAAATTTTATTTCTTGGGAATATCCAAGTATAACAATATGGCAGCAGGATATATATTCGTAATAATAATAAGAAAAAAGGAGGAAAGAAGCAAAAATATCAGGTTAGATCCTGAAATTTTTATGGATTAACAACTCTATATTCATTTATACTGTAATTCTGAACAGTAGGTTCAAGCTGTATTATATTGACCATTGAAATGCTTTTCTATTTTTCAAGAACAAATTTGCCTTTGTAAATTTAAAGAATAATTTGAATACATGACAATTTATAAAGAAGATTTATTTTTTGTATGAGTGTTTGTCTGCCTCTATGTCTGTGTGTACGGGTGCCACACACACCAGGAGGCCAGAAGACGGCACTGGATCCTCTGGAACTAGAGTTGTGGAGGGTTGTGACCCGCCATACAGAAGCTAGGTCCTCTGCAAGAGCACCAAGTGCTCCTAACTGCTGAGCCATCCCTCTAGTCACCATAAATGACAATTTTAAGGGGGGTGAGGTGGGGTGGAAAACAAACCACAGAGCATGAACTTTAAATTATGATATATTACTGCGTCACTCAGGCCTGAGGTCGGTTGCCACCTGCGTGCTCAGTGCCGTCATTCGCACGATGACATCTAACGCTCAAGGCTGTTTGAGCTCTGAGCATGCAAATACACGCAGCATTGAGTCGGTGGCCGGGACGCGTCAGACACTGATACACGCAGCATTGAGTCAGTGGCCGGGACGCGTCAGACACTAATAAATGTACGTTTACACCACCATCACTTCCATGGAATTTAAAATACAAAGCAGCTAACGTTGGATAAGTATAACGCGTTATGTAATTAATGCTCGATGAAGTAAATGCTTAATATAAATCTAATCATAAGGCAAATGGATAAGTTCACAATGTGAGACACTGAATAAAATTATTAGTCTGAATTCATCAAACTGGTTATTATCTTGAAAAAAGGGGCAAGAGATTACATTAAAAATACTAAAATAAACTTTTTTTTGCTTTATTTGTAAGACATTGTCTTACTGTGTAGTTTAGGCTGGTCTTGAACTCACTATGTAGGCCAGGCTAACCTCCACCTCACGGCAATCTTCCTAACTCCATGTGCTGGGATTACAGGCATGAGCCACCATGCCCATTTAAAAGAAACTTTATCAAAGCAATGTGAGACATGTCTAGATCTTTATTTAAAAAATATGCCTTCCTACTGGAGATATTTTGAGAACAGCTACAGAAATAAAAATTGTGTATATATGATATTCTTGAATTATTAGCTTCCTTAAATATGATAATGATATGATAAGTATACAATAGACTGCCCTCAGTTTTGGGAAATGCATTCAGAAATACCCAGGGATGAAGTGTTATGAGGCCTGCAATCGACTTTCAAATGGTTTGCAAGATAAAATAAAGCCAAAAGGAGACAGATTGAGCAACATTACCGAGGACTAACAAAAATCAAAACAAGGACAAAAACGGTTAAGTAGCTGATGTGACATGTAAGAACCTAATCTATTTCACATATAGATGTATTATTTAACCAAACAGGACTTACATACAATCTCACTGCTAAGTCTCTTTCAGAGTTTATTTTTATTCTAATTACATAGGCAGAAGAAGAAATGGCTGAAAGATTACTTGAGCAATACATACCCCCCAAGGGGTCCACAGGCTTCCCCCTGTGCTGGGTTAAGGCGGTAGATTTCTGCACACAGGCTGACAATACCATGGCGTTGTTTTCTAGTTTTACCTCTTGTTCTTCTTGGCAGAGGATGCATGTCAGCACCTCCTTTTCTGTGACAGCAGGGCCCCGTTTAGGACCCAGAGCAATTCTAGAGTACTCACTGACTGCTGAGGTGCTATCACAAGAAACAACAGAAATGAGAACATAGGTTTTGGTCACTGTCTTTACATTTTGATAGATTTTAAGTAAGCAAATATAAATAAAAATCATATTTAGCAATATTACCTTTAAAATCTACCCTGAACTTTCTGGCTTTAAGCAGTTAATTTTATAACTAGAAAATTCAGTTTGTTCTAAGTGCACAAAGATAGAATATGATATATGTTGTGATTCTACTTAATTTACTGTATCAACAAAATTAGGGCTATTTCTCTTTTTCTGAATGATAAATATGTAGCTCACATATCAAAGAAATTTTGTAAAATATAGAAAAGTATTAAGAAAATAAAAAGCATTGTATTCTGCAATGTAACCACTAGTAATCTTGCTTATTTGTTTTCTATTTATAATATACGTTTTGTACAAAGAACGGCATGCTATAAACACAGACTCATTCACTTGGATACTGTCTTACTCATTCACACTTATTTGAAATAGCGGCCACTGCTACTCCTGCTACTGTACACGTTTATCCATCCCTTTCATTAGGCAGTTAGTCTTCAGTTTCTAGCTTAACAGGTATTAAAACTACAAAACCTTAAACCTTAATAAACTTTAATGCTATAGCAATACTTATAATCTACAATATAACTGATAATAAAATACAAATAAAAGCAAGTATTTATAATGGTTTGATTGTGATACTAGGCACAGCTTCACAGATTTTGTGGGGTTTTTTTTCTCATTTAATCCTTACAATAAACATGAGGTAGATATAATTACCTCCATTTTTTCCAGAGGGAGAAACTGAGACCTAGAGATACTAAGAGATAGATCTAGGAATTCATCATTCATACATAATAGGACCAAGATTTAACTAACCCAAGGGACCTAGCCTCAGAGGTCATATGCTGCACCATTCTGCAATACTATACAAAAAGTTCCCTGAAGTATGGTTCAATGAAATATAAATAACTCAAATGCTCATCAGTGTAAATGTGTTAACATGATATAGAACATTATACAGTTTTCAAAGGGTACTTCTTAGCTGTGACATTGGAGATACAATAAGTATATATCACTTATGCAAACAAAAGGCTGAATAACAATATCACATAATTTGGTGATTACATGTGTTTGCATGTAATAAATAGTATAATAAAAATTCTGATATATACATACATAAAACCTTCTGGTTTTTTAGACAAAGTCTCACTTATGTGCAGCTTAGGCTAGGCTTCAAGTCACTGCAGCTCAGACTAGCCTCCAACTTTCAACCCTTCTTTAACCTCTTGAATTCAGAGCTATACACATAAAACTTATAACCACAGGAGGCAGAAAAGGACATAGGACTTGGTGAAGTGTCCAAAGGAACTTTAGCTTTATCTCTACCATTTGATTTTCAAAGTGAAAATACAGTAATACAACTGTAGTTAAAATAGTTTAAATAGCATTAAGATAAAAAAAATTAAAATTTAAGATACTGAGAAATCTGTCTTTATTAATAAATATATATGCAAAAAATAATAACATACATTTTTCAAAAGACAAAATGTAAAAGTCAGTAAACAACTTTATATGAGTTGATCCTTGCACTAACAAGCAACCAGAAAATGTTTACATTTTCGTTTATGGCGCTAGGAATTGAACCTAGTGTCTCATGTGTGCGAGCAAGCACTTATCCACTGCCCTTCACTCCTAACCTATACATTTTGATCTCGTGAGAATGAAACATGTTCATACACTACAAGGAGTAGAGAATGACAGAGTCACCCAGAAATGCAATGTGGACTACCCGCTAAAGTTTTAACTTAGCCAGGAGTGATGGTGCACACTCTTGATCACACACTCGGGAGGCAGAAGCAGGCTGATCTCCGTGAGTCAGTCTGTATACACAGTGAGTTCCAGGACAACCAAGGCTATACAATGAGACTAAATGTACGAGACTGGAGAGATGGCTCAGGGGTTAAACCACTGACTGCTCTTCTCGAGGACCTGAGTTCGATTCCATCTGCGACTCCAGTTCCAGGAGATTTGGTGCTCTCTCTTGCTTCGGTAAGCATCAAGTATGTATGTGGTACGTAAACATATACACACGTAAAACGTACATACATATAAAATAAAAAGAAATAAATCTCAAAGAAATGTTTTTTTGTTTGTTTGTTTGTTTTTCGGGTCAGGGTTTCTCTGTGTAGCCCTGACTGTCCTGGAACTCACTCTGTAGACCAGGCTGGCCTCAAACTCAAATCCGCCTGCCTCTGCCTCCCAAGTGCTGGGATTAAAGGCATGCGCCACCACTGCCCACCTTGAAAGAAGAAATGTTTTAAAGAATTAAGTATAAAAGAAAAGAAAAACATTGGTGTGGTGAGTTATCCCTGTCATTTCAGCACTTGGGAGGCTAAGGCAGAATTGTTACAAGTTCAAGACCATCATGGACTAGATAGGATGGCCCTGTCTCAAGCAAGCAAACAAAAGAAAAACTAGTATAAATCACCTCTATTAGGTGATCAATTTATCTCCAGTTTGTAATAATGGTAGTTCATTTTTCTGAGGAACAAAATACCAACCCACAGAAAATGATGGGTTAGTTTTATTTTTGCTGTTCCGATCCGATCTCAATGATTTCTGAAGAATGCTTGGGTTTTTTCCTTAAAAAAAAAAAAAAAAAAAGGAACTATTAATCTTCTGTATTACCTGTCTTCCTCCATAATGGAGTCTTCTTTCCCTGCAACTTCTGACGTATTGTCATACATGAGTTTGTGAGTTTCAATGAAGTTTTTCTGTAAGGCAGACATCTGGGCCATGATCTTCTGGCGATGGAGCCTAGCAGCTTCAGCCTTTCTCTTCCGCTCTGCCTTTTCTTTATCATGAGTAATCTGAATGTTAAGGAACACCGAAATTAGATAGGATCTCCTGTTAAAAATTCATGTCCAGATTAAATATCCTCTATTTGAGGCAGCAGTTACCATATCTGATAAGGTAGACTTCAAACAAAAAGTAATTAGAGAGATAAAGAGGGCTACTATCAATAGATTATTCTATATCAATAAAAGAACAATCCATCAAGTAGATATAACAAGCTGGGTGTGGTGGCACATGCCTGTATCCCAGCACTGGGAAGCAGGGGGCAAGCAGATCTCTGAGTTCCAGGCCAGCTTGGTCTATGGAGTGAGTTCCAGGACAGTCAGTGCTATGGAGAGAAACCCGCCCCCCAAAATATAACATTTATTAATGCTTATATACTAAATATTAGGTCCCCAAATTTCATAAAACTAACATAGAAGGCATAAAATATATAGGTCCTGATGCAGTAATAGTGGAGGACTTCAATACTCAACTCTTACATTTAAATAGGTCTTTCAGACTAAAAATAACTAAAGAAACCTCAGAGCTGCAATATACCATTAGCCAAATGGATACAGAATAGTCCACCTGACAGATGGGGATTATGCACTCTTCTCAGTGACATAAGCAACTGTCTCCGAAACTGATCAGATCATAGGCTACAAATTAATACTTAACAAATATTAAAAGAAATAATTCTTTGCTTGATTAGATTTTCTTATTTATTTATTTAGAGACAGTTTTACTGTGTAGGCCTCGTTGTCCTAGAATTCACTATGTAGACCAGACTGGCATTACACTCACAGAGATCTACCTGCCTCTGCCTAGACTGCTCGGATAAAAGGCATCCGTACTACCACCCAGCAGAATCAATTCTTTATATCAGAGGTAGAAGGCAACAAGAAGAACCGTAAATACTAGAAAAATACGTGTAAAGTGAACAATACATTTTTGAATTAGCAGTGACCAGAGAAGAAATTTTTAAATTCCTATAGTTAAGTAAAAATGAGACCTTCCAGAACCTTTGGGGAACAGTCAAGACAGTCCTAAGAGCAAAGTTTATAGCTATAAATTCTCATATTTAAAAAAAAAAATAGAAAAAACTCCTGAGAGATCTTAAATAAACAACCTAATTATGCAGCTCATGGCTCTAGGAAACCAACACTAAGCCAATCCCGAACCCAAGAGACGGGAAGACATTATAAAGATTAGGGAAGAAATTAATAAAATAAGGACGAAATGAACAATGCATAAAATTAACTAAACAAAGACTTGGTTCTTCCAAAACCACTGACAAATCCTTAGCCAATGTGACAAAGAAAAAAAATGTGAGGACAAAATTAGAATAAAAGAGTGTTATAGGGGCTGGAGAGATGGCTCAGTGGTTAAGAGCACTGACTGCTCTTCTGGAGGTCCTGAGTTCAATTCCCAGCAACCACATGGTGGCTCACAACCATCTGTAATAATCTGATGCCCTCTTATGGGGTGTCTGAAGACAGCTACAGTGTACTTACATATAATAATAAATAAATAAACTTTAAAAAAAAAAAGAGTGTTATATAACAGATTCCAGTGAAATCCAGAACACGAGAAGCCGGAAAACTCAGAAGAAATGGTTCAATTTCTATGTGTATATGACCTACCCAAATTAAAGCCAGAAGATAAAACATAAAAGAGATTTATTAAAAGTACTAAAGATTTCACCCAGGCCTTTCATACGTGAGGCAAATGTTCTATCATACACAAACAAGTACAACACATTTTCTTTTAGAAAAAAGTTAATAACCTCAAGTAAGAATATTCTAATAATTAAGATGGATGTGATGGTGCACCCTTTAATTGTAGCATTGGGAGGCAGAGACAAATGGATCTCAGTTAAGGACAGCTTGGTCTACATAGCAAGTTCTAGAACAGTCAGAGTTACATAGAGAGACCCTGTCTCAAAGAACAAACAAATAAACAAAAGGAATATTCTAACAATTAAATATTGGCTAATTAATTTAATATTAGCAAAACATGATTCAAAACATTATGGGAAATCATGGCGTCTAATTATGTAATTTCACTGGATCTAAGATGTACCGTTATTTTATACTTCTTAATACATGAATACTATTGACTAAATTATGAAATGCCATTGACTGAGACAAGTCTTAATTTTAGAGGTGAAAGTATTTTAAAATTAATAAAGTCTTTCTAACAGAGTTCACTGGGAATCAAGATCCTCTAATTTTGTAAAATACATACATTATACTGAGTTTATGTTAAGTGCAGTACAGACGCATGGAAAGGAAATAAAAGATGAACAAAAATCCCATATTTTGCCACAGAATTCCTCCAAAAGAAGAAAAGTGACTCCATGTTCACAGCCAGAGATGAATGTAACATTGTTACAGTGCTGTTACCTCCTCACTTTTAACGGACTCCAATCCTGAAGTGCTTGCCACAACTAAACAAGATTTTTCTCTTAATCGCTTCACTGTGTCAAACATCTGTGAAAACAGAAAAAATATTAAGTTTGGTTAGACTGACAGGGAAGACAGATTTTTTAAAATCACTAATCTGATTCATCCATCTTCTCTTGAAATGCCTTTGAGGTAAGATACTTAGATGTATTAGAAAAACAAAATTTAAAAGGTGACCCTGTCTGTGATAAACAGTGCTGTTGTTGGCCAAGGAGCCATCAGCGGAGTTTAAGTCTGCTGCTCTGGGAACAACAGTTTGTCTGGGGTTGGGGGTGCAGCAGATTATTTCTAAATGTTAAATTTTAAATGTTAATGGAAACTCTAACTCCCAAATGATTTTCTGACTTAGTCTTCTAAATAACTGGGACTATAAAGCATACCACTAAAGCCAGTTTAAAGTATGTTTTTATTCATGACTTCAGAATGACAATACACCATTTTATTCTGACCTATGAAGGGAACAACAGTCTGGCCCTGGCTATCCCTGATGTCCCACTTCCCCTTATGTTCCAGTGATGCTGGCCTTGCTCTTCCACTGCAGTGCCCTCTCCTTGGAACACTCTTTTCTAGAGTGTTAGAGTGACCCATGTCTCAGCTCTCACTTCACCTTCTGACAAAGCCCTTCTCTTATTATCCAAGGGAACCTTCTCTCATGCTATTAGATTATCCAGATGAATATTTTAAAATTATCAATTGTACTTCAACTATGGCACATGCTCCATGAAAGCAAGCATTTTGTGCTGCTTGGGATCTTGAATTCATCATGGTACATTGTAATTACTCAGTAAATGTAACTGATAATGACATAAATAAATATCTTATTATTAAAATAAATGTCACAGAACCAGAAGAAATTGAATTACTACCACAAAAAGCCACAGGGTTGTAACAGTTGACAGTAAATGACTGACAAATGAAGAGAGAGCAGTAGCTGAATCCTAGCAGCAAATAGGAGATGTTTACATACAGTATGGGATCACATAATTATGTATAATTAAATAATGACAATAAATGACTGTCAAGGCTTTGATTTTTTATGTTTGAAATTATACTTACATTATTTTTCCTTTCCCACTTCCAAACCTTCCTATATACTCATCCCTTGATCTTTTTCAAACTCAAGGCCTCATTTTGTTACATGCATGTGTGTGTGTGTGCATATATATATATACACACATATATACATGTACATATTCCTAAATCTAACCTGCTCAGTCTGTATAACATTACTTGCATGTACTTTTTTATGTGCTTACTGTATCATACTGTAAAAATTTTTAAAATTAATCTATGGTTCTGGGGACTGACTCAAGGACCCACACATGGTGAACACACATGCTACCACTGATTTCTACTTTCAGCCCCTACACTACTCTTTTCACTATAATTTGAGAGCATGCTCTCTCTACTTACAAAAGTAAAACAGCATGCAAAGTTACACCAGTAGCAATCTCATACACCTTGTATTTATTTAACCGAGTTTATTGACTGCATCGAGTTCACATCAAGTAACAAACTATTTAGGTTTACAGAAGTATATTCTGTGGTATTCAAGTAAGGATGAATCACTTAATGATGCATTTATCAAAATATGTTCTTGGTGTTAAGCAGCACATAACTCATTAGACCAGTTTACTTTTGTGATATACCTGGAGTATCCATGTTATCATGTCCTTCTGGCCTTCTAATTGGGGGATTCCTTTGAGTTTTTCCAAAAGCATTTGTATATTCTGAGCATTCATGGCTGAACTTCCCAATCCTTTTTTAAAATACAAAATTATATTAAAAGAAGATTATCTTCATAATGACATACGAGTTTAATTCTCAGTGCCTATCATTCACATGATGATTGAGGCTTGCTAGTCAGTCCCTTCTCTACCCTGATTTTTCAAAGAAAGAATCTGTGATGACATGAAATACTGAGTTACGATTATGTGAATGACTAAGGGCTAAATTAAAAGATAGGATGAGAGAAACTCCCATTATTTTAAGTCTCTCTGCATCACCCACTTCACTGCTAAGCAAGAGCTACTCCTAATAAACCGCTCTTGCCTTCCCTCTCTTTGGTTACTGTCTACAAGTACAAGCACACGATGAGAAGAACTACTGCAGAGACACTGAAGTGAGGGAGGCCATGGCCACAGACAGAGAAGGCTTCAGTAATCTACAAAGTTAGTGTCATGCTTTGCTTACAACTACTGGTTTTGTAATTAATGTTTCAGGAATTTGCTTTGAACAAGACTATCTTAGCTTAAGAGCATTCTAATCTAAACCTATTCTATTCTTCAAAATTAGAAAAAAAAAGTATAAAAAGAAATACTTTCAGTGAGACACACTTCTCTCCATTCATACTACAATCATACCCAGGAACTGAAAAAAAAAATGAGTATACTGGAAAATATTAGTTAAAAACTAAACATGCTAGGCAAATAAATCAGTTAAGAGTTGTAGTGTTTGCATAGGTATGCCCCCACAGACTCATGTATGTGAATGTATGGCTCATAGGGAATAGCTCTATTAGGAAGGATGATTTTACTGGAGTAGGTGTGGCCATGTTGGAGGAAGTGTGTCACTGTGGAGATGGGTTTTGAGGTATCATATACGCTCAAGCTCCACCTAGTGTGGTACACAGTCTTCTGCTGCTGCCAGAGGATCAAGATGTAGAACTCTCAACTCCTTCTCCAGCATCATGACTGCCTGCATGCTGCCGTGCTTCCCACCATGATGATAATGGACTAAACCTCTGAAACTGTACGCCAGCCCCAATTAAAGTTTTCCTTTATAAGAGTTACCATGGTCATGGTGTCTTTTCACAGCAATGAAACCCTAACTATAAGACAAAGGGCTTTTTACATTTTAAGAACTGACAGATAAAAACTGGTTAAGGTCCAAACTTTCAATTACAAATGGGCAGTAAGCTTGAAGCTTCTTGGGAATGATGCTGTAGCATACTTGAAGCCTTATGGTAAAAGTCAAAAGTCACTTCTTCTTCAGGAGCTTTCTGAAGCTGCTGCTTCTCCTCCAGCAAGCCCAGTGCCAATATATGGAATGCCTGAAAAAGGGAGAACAAGGGACTTTGAAGTACTTCTTCTTTAATTGGAGGTACTAATGTAAATAACCCAAAAGAAAGAAAACAATAACCCAAAATGGACAAAGCTTATAAACAAAGTTAACTGAAAGAGAAATCCTGAGTACCCAATTCAAATTAAGGAGATACAGTTTAAGGCAACTGAAAGAATGTCACTTAAAAAGTGACAAACATTTGGAGTTTACTATAAACTGCACAGCTGCCCAAAGGGTTTAGGAAGCAGTCATTTGTTATTACACTGGTGATAAAGGAACATAAACTAGTTTTACATTAAAAAAAAAATCATTGTGACAACACCAGTCAAAAATGTAAAGGAGTAGTTTGTGTAGTAGGAATTAGTATGGCAAATATACTCATTTATGTAAACAAAGATATTTGTACAAGGATGTTCACTGTAAACTAGGTATAGCACACACCTGTAATCTCATATACTTGGAAAGCTGAGAGGGGAAGGATGACCTAAGCCCACAAAATCAAGACCAGCCTGAGCGACGTAAAGAGAATCTGTCACAAGCAAGCAAGCAAGCAAACTAACCACAATCAATGTTCATCTTAGTGTTCTTTGTTATAACAAAACCCTAAAATCAAGCCCAATGTCTATTAACGAAAGTTAAATGTATAATAGTATTCGTACACAATGAAATATACATGCAACCAAGAATGACAAAGACCCTTATGTGCTTATGTTGAAATAGTTTCCAGGATTTACAAAACATTAACAGTGCTTAGGAGATAAGGACACTGGGAGCTGTGGGGAAATTTTTAACTGGAGTTCAAATAAAGCTCTACAATACTGACTATAGTACTGCAAGTATTTATCACTGAGCTACAAAAAGAGCATGAACCTACAGACCAATAATCACTAACAGGGGACAGGGATAGAGATTATTCAGTTAAATAGGTATTAAATAAATATATAATTATAGCTGCCATAAAATAGCAGGATTAAGTAATTTATTAATTAGAAATACCAAGAAGTCAGGTATGATTGCTCATATGTATACTCTTAGCCCTCAGGATGCTGAGGCAGAAGGACTGCCACAAGTTTAAGGTTAGCCTAGGCATAAAGAGTTTCAGTCTACCTTGTGCTATATATAGTATGCGACTCTACTTCAAAAACGAACAAACAAACAAATAAATAAAACAAAGAGAGCTGCAAGTGTGGTTAGTGGTAGAGTTTTTGTCTAGTATAGACACGCTCCTCGGCCTACTCACCAGCACCACCCAAACCAAATCAAACAACATAAATATATGCCTATAAAAATACAATGCACTGGGTGGTGGCGGCGTATGCCTTTAATCCTAACACTCAAGAGGCAGAGACTGGTAGATCTCTGTGAGTTCAAGACCAGCCTGGTCTACAGAGCAAGTTCCAGGACAGCCAGGGCTACACAAAGAAACCCTGTTTCAAAGAAAAGAAAAAACAAAACCAGCATGATGCAATGTGTTATGGACTTATCACTAACATGAAGAGACTTTTTTTTTGTTTGGTTGTTTTTGTTTTGTTTTTTTTTCTCTCTCTCTCCTCTCTCTCTCTCTCTCTCTCTCTCTCTCTCTCTCTCTCTCTCTCAACTCAGGAGAAGGAGCTGGGAGACGTTAGGAAATTTTTAACTGGAGTTCAAATGAACAGAGTTGGAGAGTAGTACCTAAAATAGCATAGGAATAGATTATGTTCTAAAAGAGCTTATCAACCAAGGATTCTACTTCCCAGAACCTTTGCAGTGAATGCGATCAATAAGAGGCTTGCCACGGATACAGTCGCTTTTAATCATCATGATGTGCCCCAATTACAAAAGTGCAGGGTACAACAGAATTACATTTCTACAGAACCCCAACCACAAGTATTAAAAAAAGAAATAAGGACAGATGACACTTTATAGATCTTAAACTTGTCTTCACTCCTTGGTTTCTCAAGATTACACCATCTTTAAAAACCAGCTATTCTGCTATCTTCATCATAGCATCTCTCAAGAATGGAGAGGAAAGCCTTGGCTAGCCCATGGTTACCATGCCATTCTCCCTAGCCAGTCAGGGCTGAACAGCAGGGGAGGGCAGCGTGGGGCAGGGAGTGGAAGGCTAATCTCCCTTAGCACAGCACAGCTGCTGAAGCTTGAAGGGAGAGCAGGACTGGGGAGACCGGGGGAGAGGGATCCAGCCCCTGCTTTCTGTCAGAATCACTGTTGGAAAAGGAGAAGAAAAAGCAGAACACCTTCCATGCTTGTGCTTCTTCTCATGAGCTTTCGTTACTTTCCTCTCCATTACCATTCCTGGGCCTACCATGACCGAAGCCAGAGAATCCACAAAGCAGAGGGAGGATAGTGTCCTAAGGGTTGACATGCCTGATACCTATATGTGGCCCAGGATAAGAAGGCCAACCTGGAGAGGAAGCTAGGAAACAACTAGGGGGGAAAGAAAGGATGAACAGGTGGTTGACAGGCAAGATTTCAACCTCTAGGGCACACAGATTTGACCCTGGCTAACTAGCAGTTAGTAAATAGCATTCTGCATATTCAGATGTTTGTTCAAGCTTTTCCAAGACTGCTTACTTGATTAATCCTTCCCAGGCCTGGCTCTCACTTCCTGGTTATCCCTATCCTACACACTTTTTTTGAGTTTTTTAAAACATGAGTATTTCCCAAGGACAGAGATGCTAAAAACATGAGAATGTATCACCAAAGCAACTTGGGCCACAGTTAAACTATTTTAATGATTCCTAAGTACCATGTGTTTCTGACATGGTTCTGACTACATTAATCCAAGGACTGTTTTTCAGATTCCACAAAGAACTGAAAGCAAACGCTGCAGGTAAACATACCATCTGCAGCATCCCTTCTGTCCACAGGTTAGACTCCGTGTCCACTGCCCGCTCAAAGATGGTCCTGAGGATGCACATCATAACATCACAGCTAAGGAGGTTGACGACTTTGCTGAAAGCAGGGCAGAACTCAGGAGGAGGTGGTGGTGGCAATGCTGTCGGGGAAACAGAATAAATGGGGAAAAGAGACAAACAGGCACATTTTTATTTGAACTATCCTAACATACTAAATTGTAAATATGAAAAGTCAAAGTTTAAATGCAAAATAACATAATTTTTTTCCACTTCAAAGCACTGAAAACATCAATGTCAAGGGAAATGCAAACTGCTAGACTAGTCTCCCAAAATAGATTCCATTGCTAACAATGTAAAAGGCTTTCACTCATGTTGGCACATCTGAAAAATAAATGAAAAGAGGCTTTTCTATATTTCCTTTAGTTGCCCCCTTCAAATCAACAAAACACAAAAAATAGGCAAAATGAAGTCAGTTCAGAATCTCAGTTTTACCTTCATCTTTATTTTCTTGTTTTCTCCTTTTCTTCTGCATATGTTCAGCCTATTTAAGAAAAAAAAAAAAAAGAAAAAGTAAAAACTATTATTACATACACTGCTTAGCAAGCACAAAACAAGTAAAATATTGTTTGAAAAAAATACAAAGATTGACCTACCTACTAAAATATTTTATATGCTAATTTAAAATATATTCAAAATATTACTTTGACTAGAAACCAAATAGTTGTCTTAGAGAAGGCATCACAAGATGGGTGAGGTATGATTCTCATGCAGAACTTAGCTCCTGTTCTTTTAGTCAGAAGACTTCCTAGCTTCTATCCAGTCCAAGGACCTACAGTGTGTAACTTTTATCTGTATTTATACTTATTTTATTTTATTAAATGAAAGCTCCTGGGCTGGAGAGATGGCAAAGTGGTTAAGAGCACTGACTGCACTTCCAGAGGTCCTGAGTTCAAATCCCAGCAACCACATGGTGGCTCACAACCATCTGTAATGAGATCTCATGCCCTCTTCTGGTGTGTCTGAAGACAGCTACAGTGTATTCATATATAATAAATAAAGAAATCTTTAAAGAAAAAAAAAAAAAAAGAAAGCTCCTGTGTTAGACTCCTTTGCTGTAAGAAAGCAGCAGACAGCCTGATACAAAGGGCAGCAGCATCTCACTCAGCCCCATGTCTGGCTTCAGATAATCATGAAGAGGAAGCCATGGTAGAGTAGAGCATTTCTCACAATGTCAGCAAGCAAGCAAGATCACACTGGTAGTAACCAGCTTTCTCCTTCCAGGACCAACAGACACTATGTGCTAATCACTGTTGTAAAAGACAAGAAAGAAAAAGAATGGGGGGGGGGGCCCCCCCGGGCGGCCGTGCGGGGGGGAGGAAGCAAGAGAGGAAGAGGAGTATTCTAAAGAAGCATGACAGACAATCAAAGCATGTGACAGTGAAGTGAAGGATGCATACCTGAATCCTCTTCTCCTGTAGCAACTATTATGGACATTTCTGCTATAGTCAAGTAAATCTAAATATTGTCTATACATGATTATCTATACTGATTAAGTTTTTAATTTTTTTGGATGAATTAACACCACCCTCTACTGAGAGCCATGATGAAACTACTTTTCTGTAGATTCAGAAAACATAAAAGACTTCAGGTTTATTTATGAAAAGGATACTTTTCCTACCTTGCTATGTTGTGTTTTAGAATAATGGTAAAAGTACATATTGAAGTCTTTCAGTGATTCATCTTTCAATTCATAAACTCCATGGCCCGACACACCTGGTTTCCTAAAGCAACAGATAACACAGAGATGAAGAACAGTGTTTTATTTTCACAGAACTGACACCAGACAAAGACTCTAAAATCTAATCTAAAATTCAAGATTCCTATTAAAAAATTATATCTTAGAAATGATCAATTTAGTTCTATGGTAACTAAAAAACATACACAGAATACAAAATCCTGACAACAGTGACATTTTTATTTAATAAGTTATGAAATTCAAACAAATCTGGGAGAGTTTGCCTTGTGCTAAGTAGACCTTAGAATGTGTACTTAGATTCCCAGACTTCTTTTATAGCCTCTGGGTTTAAAGGTGCCTGTTAAATTACAGTATACTACTTGACGTGGGTCAAACCTCAGATGGTAGAGAACAAATCATTAGCAAACTGTTCTAATAGTACGGAATCTTCTATCAAGCGCTGTAGTAGGAAAAGCATCACAGCTAAAGGGAGCATACCATATTTGCTGTGAACATTTAGCATCTTTGAGTTTCTGTTCAATCTTTAACTTAAAAAATATCATTAAACACTGCTAATAGGAAAAAAAGAGCCACATGCTATTCTATAAGTTTTTTATAATTGGTAGTGAGCTGGAGAGATGGCTTAGCAGTTAAGAGCACTGGCCATTCTTCCAGAGGACCCAGCATCCGCATGGCAGCTCACAACTGCTAACTACAACTCCATAGGACCTGGTATCCTCGCATAGACATATATACAGGCAAAACATGAGTGAACACAAAAATAAATAAGTCTTTAAAAAAACACCAACAGCATCACTCTAAACACAATACGATCATAAGCCAAAGTACATTACTATTATCAATTATCCAAAATTCAAGAATTAATCCAATTAACATTTTCACCTTACATACCACAAAGAGTGAAAGGTTTATAAAATACCCTTTAACTCTATTGGAAAAAAAAATCTAAGATCAGCATATAAAACAAAAATTTATAAAACAATGAAGTCATAGCTTCAGAGTATTAGGAAAGAGTTACCAGACAGTCTTAGCTTACTGTCTAAATCACCTAATATAACTAGCTAGTCTCTCATTGACCTGCCACACAAAGAACCTCATTTCATCAACAAACACATTGAATTGTTTCATTATTAAACACAGTCGTCAGTGCCTAGTGCATCCTCCACTCTCACCTCTCGACTCCATATTGTATTCTCATTCCTGGGCACTCTAAAAATCAGATGTTCTAAAAAACCATCCAGAGTATAAAAATAAAGATCAGCCTATCTCTCAGAAAAGAATAAATATTAAACACTTACTTAAATGTGGCCACTTTGTTTATGACATTTTCTAAGCCAGTTTCATTATTTTCCTGTCAAAACAACATTTTTTTGGTCATTTTTACCTTCAGGTAATGATTTTTTATTTCTCTTACTGTGAACTGAAATACATTTTAAACTTCATCTCTGAAGTACTTTATACACAATAAATTAAAGATTAACTGCAATATTGCATTAAAAGTACATATGAAAGTCGGGTGATGGTGGCATATGCCTTTAATCCCAGCACTCAGGGGGCAGAGGCAGTCAGAGCTCTGTGAGTTTGAGGCCAGCCTGGTCTACAGAATGAGTTCCAGGACAGTCAGGGCTACATGGAGAAACCCTGTCTGGGAGAGAGGGAGGGCAAAAGAAAAAAATGAAAAAGAAAAAAAGTACATATGAAACCAATATGTTGTAGGGGAGTAACTGTAAAGATACACACTCTTACGTATAAATAGCACAGGTTAAGTCAGCTCTCTGAGTCTGCCTTCATGTGTATGTACACATGCACAATTTTTAACGCCCACCCTCCTTTCTTTCCTTCTTTTTTTTTTTTTGGATGGTGTTGGAATTTAACCCAGAGCCTGCAGAAAGCACTCTATCACTCAGCTATCTGCTCAGTGGTTAAAAAGAAGCCTTATAATGCTTATCAACAACATCTAGGGACATATCTACGCTTTACTAATCCTTGAAACCAAGGTAAACAAATTGAATAGCCTCCAATCAGAAACATGACAAAGTATCTGTGCACAGTGTCCAGATGTGTTCCTCCTTTTGCAGCTCTGATAGGTTTCTGCTAATTAGCACAAACATTTCCTTAAAAACAGAGTGGTATTTTTATGGAGTCATTCACAATGATGAGAAGGACCTAGTTAAAATACTACAGTAAAGTTATAGCTACCTACCTACAGTTTTTTAAAATTAAGAAATTTAACCTCCTTTTCAAAGTTTAGTTTGAACAGGCTCAGTGAGTAAAAGCACCTCCTGCCAAGTCTGATAAACTTAGTTTAATCCCTGGGACCCACACAGTGAAAGGAGAAAATTAATCCCTGCTTTGTCCTCTTATCCCTGCAGGTGTCACATGAGTACTGTAACACACACACACGCACACACACACACCCCACATGTACACACATGCAGAAATAAATGCAAACCAAACTTTATTTTATTTACCTATTTAGTTTTTAAGGAGATGAGTCTCAGCCGGGCGTTGGTGGCGCCGCACGCCTTTAATCCCAGCACTTGGGAGGCAGAGGCAGGCGGATTTCTGAGTTCGAGGCCAGCCTGGTCTACAGAGTGAGTTCCAGGACAGCCAGGGCTATACAGAGAAACCTTGTCTCGAAAAACCAAAAAAAAAAAAAAAAAAAAAAAAGGAGATGAGTCTCATTATGTTGCTCAGGCTGGCCCTAAACTCCTGTGCATAAATGAGCCTTAGCTTCGCAGGTAACTGGAATTATACTATAAAACCTGTGCTACTAACCTACTTAACCTTATAAAAAAACAATTTATCTGAGATTAATTATGCTCTGAGCAAAGTCAGAGGATGCCTTAGAAAATTTTGTTTCTAAGTATGTTATATATGTATTACCAGTCACAGGTAAAATTATTTTAGGTGTAACATATTTGTAGAATTTTTGAATATTTACTTATTTTAATTGTATTTAGGGGAAAATCATTTAGAACATCAAAACAACTGCTTAAAACACACTATGGAAAACTATAAGATGATATTTAAAAGGCATTAATCATGAAATTAATAGGTGGATATACAAAAATTACAAAAGTAAAATCCCAAATAGCTACAATTTGACAACCAGTTTACAGTGAAACTGGGAAAAAATTACAAAAAAATCCAGCAGAGAGGAAGAAACTGAGTCAAAGCACAGCATCTCTTATGTGTATGGAAGTCTTAACAATATAAGAAAGTTGAATTCTTTATTAAGAATCACTTTTCTAGGGCTGCAGGAGTAGCTCAGTGTGAAAAATACTTTGGCATGCAAGCCTAATAATATCCTGGACCCAGGCCTTGGAGCCCATAGAAGAGCCGCATGCGGTGGCTCACAAGTAGAATCCCAGCATGCCCAGATGAGAGGCAGCAGAAGAACCACCAGAAAGCTCATGTAGGCAGCAGATATCTACATACATGTCATGGCATGTGTATACTTCCACTCACACATATAAAAACAAAACTTAAGCAATCATTGTTCTAATTAATTCACAAATCTCACAAGAAAAAAGTGTAAGAGTCATAACTTTAGAACAATTATACCAGTATTGGTATATGCTAAAGCATAAATGCCACTGTGGTGTAGGTCACAATTCACCTTATAGATCTCTAATTAGAGAGAGCAAGCTGACAACATGCTCCAGCTGTTGTCCTTTGGGCTTCTCACAAAAGGATTCCAGGCCTTAAGCAAAGCTAATAAAAAGCAGCTTGTTCTGCAAGACATGGCAAGATAGCAAAGCCAGATTTTTATTTTGCTGTCTGTCTCTGCCTCTCTTTCTCTCTTCTATCTCCATCCCTGCCTACTTTTCTAGACAGGGCATGCTCCATAGCTCCAGCTGCTCTGGAACTCCAAGCGTGCTGGAATTACTAAAAGTGTGCCACAGTGCGTAACCTATTGCTTCATTCTTTCTTTTTCTTCATTCTTTTTTCTTTTTCTTTTTTTTTTTGGTTTTTGGAGACAGGGTTTCTCTGTATAGCCCTGGCTATCCTGGAACTCACTCTGTAGACCAGGCTGGCCTTGAACTCAGAAATCTGCCTGCCTCTGCCTCCCAAGTGCTGGGATTAAAGGCGTGTGTGCCACCACTGCCCGGCCTTTTCCTTCATTCTTTTCACATAATACTTGTATGTATTTATGAGACCAATCACAACAACATATACATACACATATACATACATACATACATACATACATACATACATACACATATGCAATGTATAATTATCAAATCAGGATAACTGAAAATTCCAAGTCCTCAAATATTTTACAATTCAACATATAGTAAAACTTTGGGCTCTCTTTTTCCTAGTTATTTTGAAACATATCACTTTGTTGTTAAGTACGAGCACTAGAACTAATTTTCCTAAGTGCACTTTGCTGCCCGTTATTTAACCTCTATCTGATCTCCTGACACCCTTAATTTCTAGGGACCACTAATTCAACCTTCTTCTATGAGAGCTACTTTTTTTGTAGGATGCTTCCATTCATGTGCCTTTGCATTTTCTTCACAAATAATAAAATCTTCATTTTTTTGTTTTCTGGCCTGTTTCCTACAAGATCCACATTAACACACTGCTCCAAAAATCTGAAATCTCAGCATTTCAGATACCTTTCATTTCCTCTGCCAAAAATCTTGTTTTAAAGCAAACAAAAACTTCAGAGCATTTCTGTGGAACGAAAGCTGATAGACAACTAAAACTGAAATGTAATTGGTTCATAACCATAATAGAAAAATGTGGGTCATTTTGCAAAGCAAATTTTCCTGAAATTTGAAGTTAACTTTCAATTGAGAAAGAGAGAGAGAGAGAGAGAGAGAGAGAGAGAGAGAGAGAGAGAGAGAGAGAGAGA